ACAAATTTTTTTGCCAGTATAAGTTGCATCTACACTGGGAGGGTTTGCTGGTATAGTCTGGGACATACAACTGGGACCAATGTAATAAGATTGAGGGCGAAAACTGGAAAAAGGATTGTGGTAGAAAATTTAAACTGGACACACTGAAATTAAACAAATGGAAAATGAAAGTAATAGTACCTCGGCTGGCCAATGGCAGGAGAGCTCAATTTAAACTCTTATAGAACCAGTGGCAGAAGATTTAACAAAGGTAGTGTTGCGTAATCGCACAGGATTAGATATCAGGAGAACTTGGTTCTAATCCCAACTCTGACAGACTCTCAGAATGACTTTATACAAGTAACACAACTGTTGTATCTCTCTTTCCCCATCTGTAAAAGCATACCGCTCACTATACCTCCCAGTTGTGGGTGTTGTGGGGCTTAATCAGTCAACCTCTAGAGAAGCACCTGGATATTGTTGGATGGAAGATGCTATGTAAAAAATTATTTATTTGTATTGTAGAAGTGCCTAGGAACCCTGGTTATGGACCGCAGTGAGCTAGGCACTGTATAAATACAAAATTAAAGGATTAGAAAACGTGCCTTAAAGTAACATACTCCAGTAGCTCAGTCTATTTAGCTTAACAAAGAGAAGGCTAAGGGGTTATTTGATTACAATCTGTATGTACTTACATCTTTGGGGAACAAATATTTAACAAGGGGCTCTTCAGTCTAACAGAGAAAGGTATAACGCCATCCAGGGGCTGGAAGTTGAAATTAGACACATTCAGACCGGAAAGAAGGCATACATTTTTAAAGGTGAGAGTAATTAATCAATAAGGCGATGTTTCTGTCACAGGTATTTCTAGTAATAGTCACGGACAGGTCATGGGCAGTAAAGAAAAATTCATGGTCCGTGACCTGTCCATAACTTTTAGTATATACCCCTGACTAAAACTTGGGAGCAGGGCAGCTGCGGGGGACGGGGGTGTGTGTGTGTGCGGTGGGTGCTGCAGGGGAGGGTTAGCGGGGCTGGGGCAAGCTCCTTACCTAGCTCCTAAGCTCCATGGGCTGCCTCCACTCCGCCCCAAGCCCCAGTTCTCCCATTGGCTGGGAACTGCTGGCCAATGGGAGCTGCGGGGGGGGGGGCGGTGCCTGCTGGCAGAGGCAGCACATGGAGCTAGGAGCTGAGGGAGGGGAGTTCCTGTTGCCCTTCTGGGGACCCACACCCCCTGCCGGTAAGCACCACCCCGCACCCCAATCCCCAGCCATGAGCCCCCAGCCCCCAAACTCCTGCTGCTGGGGTGGGGGGTGAAACTGCCCCAGCAGTAGTCCATGCGAAGTCAAGGAAGTCACGGAATCCGTGACTTCTGTGACCTCCGTGACAAACATGGAGCCTTATTAATCAATAGAACAACTTACCAAGGGATTGTGGTGGATTCTACATCGCTGACCATTTTTAAATTGAGATTGGATGTTTTTTTAAAAAGACCTCGTCTAGGGGTTATTTGGGGAAGTTCTATGGCCTGTGTTATACAGGAGGTCAGACTGGATGATCACAGTGGTCCCTTCTGGCCTTAGAATCTCTAAATCTATGAGAAAGATGATCCCCGTCCCAAAAGTAATATGTCTGAGGCGGAGAAGCTGCTCAAAAACCACACTCAAGAATCATAAACAAGAAATTGCTCACCTAAACTTTATTGAAAATGGACTGAAATAAACGTTCTGTGACACAGGACTGAAAAAGGTGGCATACACATACACAATACAAACAGGTGTTCAAAAATTGCTTTAACTTAGAAATACTGGAACTGTCAAGACTGCCCTTCCCTGGCTTTGCTGGGGAGCCTCCTGGGTGTCTTGGAGGTTGTGCATTGTGAGCTCTCAAATGGTAATGGAATGGCCAGGGTGCTGAATTTTAACAAAGGTATCTTTTCTCTGAATTATTAATTCATCATAGAAGGTAGAGGTCTGAACAAAACTAGAGTTTTATATGGTCACATTACAAATCCTTTCCTCTTGGTTTTCACACTTCTGTGGTGTTATTTCACTAGTTCGCGTGTGATTATAGACTTTCCACCACAGACAAGACTTAATTTCCAACATTAAAAAATAAATAAATAAAAAAGCAGAAAAATGAATCTTTAAAAAGCAAAGTTTCAGGTTCCCTTTATACATCATAAAAAATGAGACAAGCTCCATTTTTGTTTTTCCTTTATGTAATGGCAAGCATTGACTTTTGACCTCTTGCTACACTGATCATATTGGTTTTGTGATCTCACAGAAAGCCTCATTAATATTTTTCTACAGTTAAAGGCATTTTCTAGCACCTTCTGAATTAATGATGAGCATTTCCTTGTGCAGCCAGAGCCTTTCAACAAGGAGCCATCCCTCTTCTTAGGGTTTTCTCTGGGTCTGATTTAATTCCTCCCTTCTTAAGAAACGTGTATCCCCCAACTCTTGCATGGTATTTCCAGTCTCACAAGCCCTTTTGTCTCAGTGCTAAGGGCTCTCACTCTAAAATGGGTCCCAAGCCACAAATGTTTGTAGCAGTTTTCACGCTGAAACATTATGGGAGAGGTTCAGAGCTGGGATTTTGGACTCTATTGTAAGCCTCCTATTGTTAAATCCTCTCCGCCGCTGCTCTGTCCTAAACTTTAAGATACTCTGAACAATTAAAAACAAAAGCACCAACAAGCATCACCTATTTCTTATTAACCCCTCTAAGATATTTTTTCCCCACTCAGAATTTCCTGGCTTTTTTTCATGCTTGCTTCAAAAGTCCCTTCACTATTTCCATTTGGTTTTACCCCACACTTCTATTGCTATAACTGATTAATGGAATCTATAAACCATGGAATGTTTATTAGCTTAAACTATGAATGGTTTATTAGCTCCATCTGCTGGATGAAATTTTTGCCTTTTCTTTATCTGGAGAAAAAACCCTCACTAATGGAAGGAAATTATTATTCTGATCATTGCTTGAGGTTTTTTTCCTCTCTAACCACTTTTAGTATTTCTACAGTATCCCCATATTTAATCTCGACACTTCAAAATACCTAACATTTTTTTCTTATGCTGTCATTTATATTTGCCTCTCTTTTAAATAATGAGCAAACGATTTCCCCTAACCCACCTTCACACTTTCCATTACTCTACTTTCCAGTAACATTCAAATATCTGGTACATACAATATGACCCACACTAATTCTAAACAAAGTACATTCTAATTGGGCTATTCTGCCTAAATCTATTTTTGGAATGCTCTTGTTTTTTGGACTCCACCTGCTTGTATCACTCAGATCTCTCAAATACCAATGTTTCAAGTGCTAATATGCTGCAGAACTGTATATGTCAGGAATATCTTCTATTTAAACATTAAATTTGGTGACACAAGGCCTTATCCTGCAAATTCTACTTCTTCACAAGTCTCTGCTTGTGTACAGTAAACATGTCGACTTCACCCATGAATAAGGGTCACTGGATTGGGCCCATGCTTGGTCCCAGAATTCCCAAGCTGAAGTGGGCAGCATTCTAGATCACCATGATAAATCTATTAACTTGCTCATATGCATGACTTCTAACTTTTTGTCTAAGAAAGGGATTCTCAAATTGGGGGTCATGACCCCTCAGGGGGTCACGAAGCTATTACTTGGGGGGTCGCGAGCTGATCACGCTTTGCCAAATCAAATCATGCTTTGCCTCCAGCATTTATAATGATGTTAAATATTAAAAAAAAGTGTTTTTAATTGTAAGGGGGGTCACACTCAGAGGTTTGCTGTGTGAAAGGGGTCACCAATGCAAAAGTTTAAGAACCACTGGTCTAAGATCTGCTCTTCACTAAACTTGTGCGGACAAAGAATCTAGCCACGAATTTCAGATAGTTGATGAGGAGGTTGCTGTCTACCTGGACCGTTACAGCCCATTTGTCACCACCGTCCAACAGACTAGCATTCCATTTACACGTCAAACTGGAGTTTGAGAGACATGAAAAATGGTAGCAACTATTTCCAGGGAGGGCTCAATAACAAGCTCTCCGACCTTCCATGTGATGGAACCAGGAGGGTAGTTTTCCCAGGATGGCTTCTAGCTCAGGGAGACTTGCAGGCCATAGTTTGACTTTAAGGCTCAAGCCTCCAATCTCTGCAGATTAATTAAACTCTAGAAATATTGCCCATATGAAAACTGAGAGCAGGCCTCAGGGTCTGACAATATTAGAAAAAAGTGAGTTTTTGTTACTTTGCCTGCCTGTTCTAATGATAAAATAGTAGAGATGGCTGTCTTTCCTGCCCGATGTTCAGACTGCACCACCCCCACCTAACGCTTTCACTGGATTCCCTGTGAATTCATCAAGTTTTAAGCTGCTTTTGGTCACCTACAAGGCCCTTCACCACTTTGCCCCTCTTTGCTTTTCCTTTTCTGTCTCATAGCCCCCTGCCTCCTCCACTATGCCAATGCCTTGGCTGCCAGTTTGTCAGCTTATCACAGCTGTTACCATACTTCCCTCTCTTTCAAATCCCTCCTCAAGAACCACCTCTGCTGTGGTGCCTACAAGAAATTATCCAACTGGTAGAAGTTGGTTTTGTGTCAGGTGGGTTTAGGTGATTGTAGGTACATTTAATAACAGAGAGAGCTCTGGTACCTTCAGGAACCATCAAGCTGTGCAATACCTATGTCACCACATGATCTTATTTTCACTATCATTCCTTTTTCTCCTCTTGTTTGTCAGTTCACTTTTTATATCTTGTTCTCTCACAAACATCACTGAAACTGCAGTTAAAACTAGAGGCTAACATTTCAGGAAAGCATTTTTGCATTTCACATGCCGGAATCAAAGTATGACCATTACAGTTTGTGCATGCAGCAGCTTGTTTTGTGGACTCAATTTAAAGTACAACTTTTTGGACAGGCAGCTCATTGTTTTAAATCCCAGAATCCCTTTTTCTGAAGAGATCACTCCCTACAAAACTATTTCATTTTTAGCCCCACCCTTCAAATGTCAAGTATCTAGCTCCCAGCTCAGAGAACCATTAGCAGAAACTCCAGGAACACAGCAGGAGAAGAAACGCTTTCAAACGCTTGTGAAGCAAGAACAATATTTTAACTAAAGTGGCTTGTTAAATCTTGTTTTGTCTAACGTTCGTGGCAGTGGGACTACACAAGGCAGTAAGTGACTTCTGCATTATCTAATGTTTCAGCTTTTCCCTCGAGTCTAATCATCCACAAAAGCCATTTATTGACTCATATACTTCTCCATCAGGATTGTTATTCCTTTAAACAAATTGTACGTACCATATGGAATGTACATTATTGAATTAGTGCTTCTTTTTCCTTTTGGAAATGTCAGAATAGAAAGCTGAGCGACTTGGGCCATTGGTATTTGTGTTTGCATTCCCCGCCCATGATGGTTTGTTGTGTTTGGCAGAACCTACAGTTTGAGATTGTTTCACAGTTTCTCATGAAGAAATAAATGTTTCTTTAGAAAATGTTTGTGTATCAAAATAATTCCCAGAAGTTGCTTTTAGTCCAGATAGTGCAAAACCCATTTCCCATTTCCCACCCCCTACAGATTGACCAATAAACTCTGCATGCTGTATGTGCGAAATGTCTTTGCCTAGTGCAGTTGGACTTTAAAGCAGACTGACCTGTCCATTGTTCAGCAGTTATTTGTGGCTGCCTGCCCAACCGTGAAATATACCTGACAAATGCTTGTGGATGTCTTCTCTTCCATATAGCAAATTTTGTCTTGAACTTGCAGATATTGGCTCTTTCTGTTATCATGCTGCTCTTTGAGGCAGGAGTGTCCTCATCCCCCTCTTCCTCAGGCTTGGAGAATCAGATCTTCCAATATATTGATCTTCATCAAAATGAATTTATTCAGGTAAGAGCTACACATATTGTCAAATAGCTACAATGCAGAAGTGAAGTAATAAAGACCAACAATGTGTGTTTATGAGACCACATCTTTTTTCTTCTAAGGGGAAAAATACTGAGCAGGCTTCCACAAGGCCTCAGATGTACTGGAAATGCCACATTTCACTACACAGCAGGGCTAGGCAAGGAAAAGTCTATGGTGGGGACACTGTACTCTTCTTGTGTTCCATGTAGCAGAGATCGGTGGTGGCTTTGCGCACAATGTACCATGCAACACGGGAATGTGGGTGGACTGTGGCCATCACCACTAGATCCATGCAGAGTATGCAAATCCATACTGAGCCAAAACCGCGAATGAAGGGGAGAAGCAGGCTACTTATGCTGCTGCTTCACTCACTTTGCCATGCAGACATGCCAGCTCTGCACTGATTACTAGGTTGGGGGCAGGGCTCAGGATTCTTTTCCTCAGTGCTGTGATGTTTTTGTGCATTTCTGTGAGTGCACAGCTTGTTCGTTTGGCCTGTGACCTCTTCTCCAGGGTTTAGCCTTTCAAGAGATGCTTTTTTTAAAAAAAACAAACTGGGATCAATTTGCATTGGGGGAAAAGGAAGAACTGAGGAATGGTTCAGACATGATTAGTTCATGTCAAATTATGAACGCTTCATTTTGCTGGAATTACTCAATAGCAGTACCCATTGTAACAGTGGGCATGTCTGAAACTAGATGAGGATTGTCTAGACAATTCATGCAAAATACAATTACACAGTTGAAGGGAATTTAGATGGACAGCCTTAATAATACTCTGGTCCCTCTCTACATTCTCCAAGACTGGAGTTTAGATCCTATGATGACAGTTAGCTTAGAATTACCTCAGATGGATAGAAGACAGAAAGATAGACCATCCCTGCCCTGCAAAATCTCTCTAGAGCACCCTATCTTTAAGGAATCCATTGGGGTGCATTTTGTTTGCTCTGAAACTATACCCCCCCCCCACAAGGTGTACTATACGTGTGAAAATGGTGCTTCCTGAGGGACAGGTAGAAAGGCAATCAGAACTGTTGGGGTCCGCTGATGGAATCAAGAGGGTTGTTTCAATGAAGCACTGTAAAGATGGATGAGGGAATCAGATTCTGATCACTCTGACTTTAGCAGCAGACCTGACACTTTAACAAGAGAGAAAGTGATCCAGTGTCCTGACAATTCTTTGCCAGATAGAACAGTGGGCATGTCTGAAACTAGATGAGGATTGTCTAGACTCTAGACAATACATGCAAAATACAATTACACAGTTGAAGGGAAGTTAGATGGCTAGGCTAGACAGAGCTGGAATTAAAACAGCTTCAAATCTGATGTGTTTTGAGTTCAAAACGCAAACAACAGTGCAGATCTGGTTTTCAGTACCCCAGTGGTTCATTTAATTATATTCCTGGCTTCCTTTGCAGACCCTTAAGGAATGGGTAGCCGTGGAGAGTGATTCTATTCAACCACGGCTAAGACAAGAAGTAACACGAATGGTGGAATTAACAGCAGACAGGCTTCGAGCTTTGGGAGCCACTGTTGGGTTAGTGAAGTTGGGATCCCACAAGGTACCTATTTATCATTGCCATGTTTCAAAATACTCTGATCTGTACTTTAACGGTGTGTTCTAAAGTAACATATGAATAATTCTCATTGGTAGGAAGGAGTGAGACACCCATTGTCACATGGATAGTCACTTCTAAGCATAGGATCAAAACATTAACCCAGGAAGTAAGGTGGTTTCTTATATTTGGACCCAGCAGAGAAGGAGATACAGATAGAGAGAAGCTCATTTAAGCACATCTCTAGCTCCCTTGGTAACCTTTATTGTTCTTGCAACAAAACTGAAACCAACCCGAAAGTGAGGCTTTACTCTGGGGAGAGGAGAGTTCTCAAACATTTAAAGGGACAGGACAACACATTTTTACACCCTACATTAAAAAAAACTTCCCAAATATATATGTACCTTATCATTTACATAGACCTATAGTCTTTATGACCAGAAGGGACCATCAGGGATCATCTAGTCTGACTTTCTGCACATTGCAGGCCACAAAATATCAGCCACCTACTCCTGTAATAGACCCTTAACCTCTGGCTGAGTTACTGAAGTCCTCAAATCATGATTTAAAGACTTCAAGTTACAGAGACTCCACCATTTACACTAGTTTAAACCTGCAAGTGGCCCATGCCCCATGCAGCAGAGGAATGTGAACCTCGACACACACATACACATCCGCCTCAGGGTGTTTGCCAATCTGACCCAGGGGAAAATTCCTTCCCTACTCCAAATATAGTGATCAGTTAGACCCTGAGCATGTGGGCAAGACCCCCAGCCAGACACCTGGGAAAGAATTATCTGTAGAAACTCAGAGCCCTCCCCATCTAGTATCCCCTCTCCAGCCATTGGAGATATTTACTACAAGCAGTCGCAGATTGGCTACATGCCATTGTAGGCAGTCCCATCATACCATCCCCTGCATAACTTATCAAGCCCAGTCTTGAAGCCATTTAGGTTTTTTGCCCCTACTGCTCCTCTTGGAAGACTGTTCCAGAACTTAATTTCTCTGTTGGCTAGGAACCTTCGCCTAATTTCAAGCCTAAACTTGTTGATGGCGAGTTTATATCCATTTGTTCTTGTGTCAGCATTGATGCTTAACTTAAATAACTCCTTCCCCTCCCTGATATGTATCCCTCTGATATAATTGCTCTCTAAAAATATATCTCCCCTCAACCTTTGTTTGGTTAGGCTAAGCAAGCCAAGCTCTTTGAGTCTCCTCTCATAAGGTAGGCTTTCCATTCCTCTGATCATCCTAGTGGCTCTTCTCTGCACCTGTTCCAGTTTGAATTCATCTTTCTTAAACTTGGGAGACCAAAACTGCACACAGTATTCCAGATGAGGTTTCACCAGTGCTTTGTATAATGCTATTAACACTTCCCTCTCTCTTCTAGAAATAAGTCGCCTGATGCATTCTAGGACTGCATTAGCGTTTTTCACAGTCGCATCATGTTGGCGGCTCATAGTAATCCTGTCATCACCCAATATACACAGGTCTTTCTTCTCCTCTGTTACTTTCAATTGATAAGTCCCCAGCTTATAGCAAAAATTCTTGTTAGTCCCTAAGTGTATGGCCTTGCACTTCGCACTACTAAATTTCACCTATTTTTATTACTCCAATTTTCAAGGTCATCCAGATTTTCTTGTATGATATTCCAGTCCTCCTCCATATTGGCAATACCTCCTAAGTTTGTGAAATCTGCAAATTTTAATAACACATTTCCACTTTTTGTGCCAAGGTCATAAATAAAAATGTTAAATAAGATAGGTACCAAGACTGATCCCTCAGGAACTCCACTAGTAACCCCCCTCCAGCCTGACTGAAAGGTTCACCTTTCAGTATGATCTATTGTAGTCTCCCCTTTAACAAATTCCTTATCCAACTTTTATTTCTCATATTAATTCCCATCTTCTCCAATTTAATTAATAATTTCCCATGTGAAACTGTATCAAATGCCTGACTTACATCCAGGTAGATTAGATCTGCTGCATTTCCTTTGTCTAAAAAATCAGTTATCTTCTCAAAGAAGAAGATTAGGTTGGTCTGGCATCATCTCCCTTTTGTAAAACTATGTTGTATTTTATTCCAATTATCATTTACCTCTGTGTCCTTAACTACTTTGTCTTTCAAAATTTGTTCTGAGATCTTGCATACAATTGAGGCCGATAGTTTGCCAGATCACTTTTGCCCCCCTTTTTTAAAAAGAGGTACTATATTAGCAATTCTACAGTCATAGGGCACAACCCCTGAGTTTACAGATTCATTAAAAATCTTTTCTATTGGGCTATCAATTTCATATGCCAATTCCTGTAATGTTCTTGGACGGAGATTATCCAGGCCCCCGCAATTTTGTGCCATCAAAGACTAAATAACCTAACTAAAATTTGTGAGTGGACAAGCCATGATCTGCCAAATAGCGGTGGATATTTTCCTTCAATCACATAAAAGGGATTGTCCATCTAGTTGAATTTCACTTGGAGTATCCCTTTTGGGACTAACTTTTCTCCAGTATAAATCTTCAAAACCATACAGGTTTCTTCCAGAGGAACTTGTAACAAAGTCTGGTGATATCAATGAAATCAATGAAATGCCAGCTCCAGGATCAAGCTCCATTCTTGTAGACATTCCTTCAATCAAGGGTGCGACCCAGATGCCATTTCTGACTCCAGCTTGTGATAAGGTAGTGCTAAGTCTTGGCCAGTGTCACTAGAGCTCTTGTTTTTTTCCACATTATGAATTCCTAATTCCCGTCTTCTCTTAGGTTCAGTCTTCACAGGTGTCTTCTGGTATGGACGATTAACCTGTGCTGGAGGTCATTGAACTGTGACAGATCACAGCAATGTGTCCTCTCTTCTGGCACTTCCTGCAAATGACCTGGTGTGTCCAGCAAGTCTTCTCAGCATGCACAGTTTGTGCACAGTGGCCACACAGAAATTCCTTATGTAAGGGGGCTGTTGCCCCCTTACTAACATTCAGTGGGGGTGTTTTGGTTGGCTAGCTCCCAGTACAAAAGGGGGAAGGGTCTATGGGAAACCATGACCCTAAGACTGATTGTCCCTAGGAACAATGGGGAGAGGCCAATGCTCCAGGCCAGCCTGAATGACAGGGCGGGCAGGCTAATCAGAGATTCAGGAGGCCAGGGAGGTCCCGTCTTCCGTGTGAGCTGGATTTGCCTGGATCAGACAGAGTGGGGCCGAGCTAAGGAGAAGAAAGCAGGGGCCCAAGCTGAGCTGGGGAGCAGAGCTGTGCCAGATCCAGAGGGACCAGAAAAGCAGCCCAGAGAGAGCAAATCCTGTCCTGGGAGCAGAGCTGCAGCCCCAAAGCCAGAGGCACAGCCCAGAGAGAGCAGACTTGGCCTGGGAGCAGAGCTGCAGCAACCAGAGCCAGAGGGGCCAGAAAAGCAGCCCAGGAAGCAGGTCAGTGCTGGGAGCAGAGTCACAGAAGCAGCCTGCAGAGCAGACCTGTCCTGGGAGCAGAGCTGCAGCAACCAGAGCCAGAGGGGCCAAAGAAGCAGCCCAGGGAGCTGGAGGCAGAGCAGCAGCAGCAGTGCGGAGACCGAGTGGTGGAGCTGGGGCTGGAGCAGTCCGGAGCTGGGTGTGGTGAGCAGCTGGGGAGAGCGAGGGGGACCCTGGGCAGCGGGCCCAGCACAGGGAGATGCCTCAGCCAAGAGGCTCTGCAGGCCAGGCTTGGATCATAACCCTGACAGGGTGGGGGCGACACTGGGAAGAAGGGTCCTACCACTTAGAGCCTGAGAGCGTGTGGCTACCACCAGAGCAAGTGTCCAACCCACAGCATCCCTACAGCACAGCCAGGGCCTGAGAAGAAGGCCTGGGACTTACAAGGAACAGACTGTGAACTGCCCGGACATTCCAGAGACACTGTTTGTGATGTTCCCTGCCACAGAGCGGGTTGATGTGTTTCCTTTAACCTTTCCCATTATTCCTTATTCTTTTTAAAATTAATTGTTGATGAAATAACTTGCATTTGCTTTAACTTGTATGTAATGGTCAGTGGGTCAGAGAAGTGCCCAGTGCAGAGAGAGTACCTCGGAGTGGGGACACCCTAGCCCCTGTCCTAGGTGACCACAGCAGGGTTGGGGCTCGAGCCCCCCAGGAATCCTGGGCCCAGCCTTGTTGGGGTTACGAGGACTCTGCCAGACAGGAGAGTGGAAGGGGAGTCTTCAAGGGCAGGGAGGCCACTGGGTAAAGGAAGTGGGAGCGAGGACTCAGGTCCTTTCACTAGCCCACTTCACTGGAGTAGTGCATAGTGACTATTCCCCCGCTTACACTTACATTCCCGTGGTTTTCTGTCTGATCAGTTCACAAGATGAACTTGTCAGTTCATGCTAAAGTCCAGAGAATCCTCTGCACTTTCCATTGTAACAGCCACTTCAACAGCCTTCTTGAATGTAAGCACTGATACAGTAAATAATTTTTTCAGGACCTGCTCATTGCATAATCCAGAGACTAACTGGTCATGGAGGGGAATCACTTAATATTTGTCTGAACTGACAACTTCCTTAGAGCAGCAGTGAACTGTGCTACCAACTCTCCACTTCCCTGATGTCGCTGATGTGACCGATATCATTCTGCTACCATCAATGGGTCGGAGAAAAATGTTCCTGTATTTCTGCATGAATTGCAGCGTACCTGGCGGTTCCGGGCACAGTTGGAGACAATAGGTCATGCAGCAGTCCCTATGCCTTCAGTATGCCCATCACTGTTAACAAGGGTCTAACTCGTCTGACTGGAATAGAACAGAAAGTTACAAATTACTCAAAATTTTGGAGATACACCACCCATGATTTGCAGTTGTTGTTGAATTCACCAACATTGCCCACACAAATTTCCATTCCTCTGTTCTCCTGTTGGACTTCAAACCTCCTGGACACCTTCTCTGCCACAAGGAAATTCTTTTTTTGTTACTCTGCATCTGCACTCAATCTGCCTCTTTTGGCTGCATGCCAACACTAGACTGTAGACTTCTCCCTTTGGCTGTATTTGGGCTCCCTCTACTGTCCGTAGAGCCTCGGGGCAGGCTAAGCAGCTGCTCTGTTGCCTGCTTGCACATGGTCTGTCAACATGGTTGCTTACTTCCCGCTCACTGCTTTGTTTTCAGTAGCTCTGAGTAGTAGCCTATTCTTTGTTCAGTTTGTAATTGCCAATTCCCCCTCTCTAGCTGAGTGGATCACACTCTCCCAGTAGCAAAAGCAGCAGACTGTCACCTTGTGCCTCTGGGTAAACTTTCCCCCCTTTTTTACAGTATTATTTCCTTCCTTTGTCTTCTTTTCATTCAGGCAGTAGGAGCACTGGACATGCATGGGATAGAAATCCTTCATTGCCAAATGTTGTATCTGGACCCAGCGGAGAACGAGATACAGACACAGAGAAGCTCATTTAAACTCATCTAGCTGCCATGGAAACCTTTATTGTTCTTGAAGCAAAAAAACAACCCAAAAGGGAAGCTTTGTACTGGGGAGGGGGGGAGAGCTCAAACATTTAAAGGGACAGGGCATCCATTTTCCTTCATTCTGTAGGGAGGAGAAAGCACTACACTTCTTACAAATTTCCTCTCCTATCAGTGTAATGCAGCAGCTACCTTCCTTTCACGCAGACCAAAAGCACGTGTTAATGCAAGGCAATCTGCAAATTCTTCTCCTCTGAAACAGAGAGCTGCTCCTTTTGTGAGCCGTCCAGTTTTCTCTGATCTGTGCAGAAATCTGTCTTGTGTGCCATATTAGCTTGAGACCTTAGCCTGTCTTCAGAATGGTGTGCAACAGCTGCCAGTGCTGCCTACCAACACGGCTTTATATTCATTTTTCAGTCGATTCCAAGAGCCTGGAACTTCAATCTGTTGCAAAACCAAAGTCAAAAGTAGCTTCTGTGCAGCCTTTGATTCATTCTCCTGTCACATGTGGACAGCTTTCTGTCGTCTCCATTGCAGGCTGAGTTTGGGAGGGAATGGAAGGGCCTAGCAAAGAGCGTGTGCTATCATTGTATTACAGTTAAACATTAGATGGGCTCTTCAGTTTCAAGAAGAAGCTCAATGGCTGGGGAGAGGAACTTAGTTTCTGTATAAGCTTTAGCGATAGGGTGGAAATTTGACAACCTGCTCTGATAAGAGTCCAGTGCACCAGTAAAGGGTCATTTGAATACTGACAATTCCAATTCCCCTTGTAACTACTAGCATGTTCTCACAAAGCTTTGGCGTTTCTTTGTTACTGTGTTAATGTTCCTCCACAGCTGCCTGATGGCCAGAGCCTTCTGTTGCCTCCTCTAATTCTAGCAGAACTTGGTAAAGATCCACAAAAACCCACTGTATGTTTCTATGGCCATGTGGACGTACAACCTGCCAAAAAAGAAGATGGATGGAAAACTGACCCCTACACACTGACTGAAACTGATGGTCTGTACATAGTCATTATTCTGGCACAAGTATTTGTATGCAAGACAGTAAATTATGGAGTGGGAGGAGGTTCCCTCTAAACTCAAGCCGGTGTAAGAAGGTGCTACTCTTGTGGAAATCTCTGGGACAAATTCAAGGGAAATGGGCTTTCAGGAACCATACTGTTATTGGTTGAGTCCTGCTTGTGACTGCACAGAATCAGCTGGGAAAGAGCCAGCAGGAGTTAATCAGGGTTGGTTGTAGGAGCAGGCAAGCAAGGCAGTTGCCCTGGTTGTTAGTCTCTATGGTGCCACAAGTACTCCTTTTCTTTTTCCAGCGGGCACTGTACTGCTGTGCTGCTTGTGGGTTTTTGGTTTTGGGGGGTGTTTTTTGTTTTGTTTTTGCTCTGCTTTAATTGGCTGGTTTTGTTTTTGTTTTTGTTTTGGCTCTGCTGATTTGTTGGCTGCGGGCTGCACGTGGTGGGATTTAGTTGGTTTTTTTGTTTGGTTGGTAGGTTGGTTAGTTTGCTTAGACACTGAAAACGTTTTCGGCTTTGGCCAACAAAACAGAATGTTTTTGCTCTGAAATCTTCTGGGTCAGAAGAGGATAATGCAGAATGTACAGCGCCTCCTCCCATTCTGCTGATACCGCAGCTCCACAGAGCTCTGCCCAAGGACCTTCCACAGGGGCCAGCAGTCATGGGCAGCTGTGAGCCCCCAATGTGGGGAGGCTAGCCATGCACCTGCGGTCCCACCCCTTCTGTCCAAAGCCCTGCCTCCCCCCATCCCAATCTGCTGGAGCCCCGCGCCTCCCCCCATCCCTTCTGTTGGCCGGAGGAGCCCCAGCTGAACCCCCTTGGGCCTCCGGCCGGCCCCAGCACTGGGCCACCAACTGGTCCCTGCTGGCCTCTAGCCGGAGCTGAGCTCCCTCTGGCTTGGCAGAGCTCATGCGGGGCCAAGGCTTGGCTTATGGGAGGCTTAGCCCCCTCCCGCCCCCCCCGGCCTACTATACCCGCCACCCATGCCGACAGTGATGCATGAAACTCAGTCGTATTCCCTCCCTTAATTTCATGCTCCCTCGAGAAATCAGGTGGATCTAAGACAATGTAGAAAAGAAAACTATGGAGCCAAGGTCACAGTGAGTCAGTAGAAGAGTAAGGTAGAGAACTCAGAAATCCCAACTCCCACTCCTGTGCTCTAACCACTAGTCCACTCCTTCCCACTCTTTGGGACCGATTCCTATCAAACTTACCAGTGTAGCTCCATTGACTTCAATGGCAGTTACTCTGGATTTACACCAATGTAAATGAGAGCAGAATCTGGACCCTTATAAATGTATGCAGATTTATCAATCTGAAAAGTTTTGTAGTAATACCATGGCCTGTACCCCTGGATGCATATATAGGACTTCAAGGTAGTGTGTAATTCCTACACACATCACTGCTGAGTGATACCATCCCTACAGTTCTTTTTGTGGGCTTCATGTGCATAGCAACTGCATGTTGTGCCAAACTGTATCAAAATGTTGTTGTCTGGACAAACTTCTGTTAAGAACTAGAATAAAACCAGCAAGCAGACTTGTGCCACAAATCAACATTTGAACTTGGAGACCTCAGAGGTCTAGTGCACTAACCCTACTGGGAAACATCTAACACCTTTACTTAAAACTATTCTGTGAAACGCTGGTTTCATTGACCTCAAACGGGAGTTTTGCCATTGACTTCAGTAGAGCCAGGATTTCACCCATTTATATCTGAAGCAGCATCAGAGGCTCCAAAGTTTGATATAAGCTTTTTGTTTTTATTTTTTTAAGGAAATCTTTATGGGCGTGGAGCAACAGATAACAAAGGACCTGTCTTGGCCTGGATAAATGCAGTGGATGTATTCAGAGCACTAAAATTAGTAGGTAGCAAAGAGAAAACATTTGTATTCCAGTGGCACTGTGCAGGAGTGAATTTCAGATGTAACCTCATCCCCACAAATTGGTTTAATATATTTGTAAACATTAGTATAGTTTTAATACTGTTTCCAAGCCTTCCCCAAGGGCATTTTGTGCTTGGTATTTTATATATTGACCAGGCTCAATGTAATGCAGAGGGTGCAACCTCCTTGTCCTGCTTTATAGAAGGCACTGAGGAAAAAGGCAAGCATTAAACTGATTGGATACCCAGGAAGACCATTTGCTTGAAAGCTTTTTAAAATTGTAAAAGAACTGACTTTAAAGCAAGCTTTGGTCATGCTTAGTTTTGCACCTTTTAGTTCTGCTCTTGGCTGCAAGTTATCATCAGTATATGTGTATCCATGGACAGAATAAGGATATGAAAGCACCTGGAAAATGCTCATTCAGAACAGTACATTCTTGCAACAGCATATGAGATTCAGCAAAGAAAACAGCAAGCCTGCAAATATATAAATTATATCTTAAGTTATTTGTTGTCCAAGTCAGCTGTTGTAAACTGATTTGGTTTATGGCTGTTTTCTACAATGTGCTAATCTTTCAAATCAGTAATGTCCAGGTTGGCATTTTAACAAGTGAATCAGATAAGGCTGAAGCTCCTGAATCCTCTCTCTAGCAAACAGCAAAGTTCATTATACAATATATGTGCACAGTTTATTCCTAATTTCTTTGTGGTTGTTTGGCGAACCACTCTGGTTTATCCGATCACTCAGGTTAAATTCGTCCCGGACATAAGTCCGTTAAAGTCCAGAGATTGTACTGGTGTTAAATCTGAAACCTGAAGAAAAGCAACGTGATGCTTTCTGTTTAACTTAAAAGACAATCTCCATAGCCTGAAAATGAGCCACAATGGAATGCTGAGCTTAGTTTTTCTTTCTTGTATGGGACATATGAGCATTTCTACCAACTGCTGGCCCTTGATGAAAGTTGTTGGATGACCTTGCCTGCACTGAAGATTTTCTCAGATTCTCTCTATGCTGGAGTAGCTGGGCAATTTCACTGGTGCTCAGAGCACTGCCCATCTGCATTTTTACCACCATGTCTAACCCTGCAGGTTTAGAGAACACAATGATAAAAATGCCAGCAAAGGGCCTACACTGACAGCCCCTCCATTGCTAGCATTGCTAGAGCTGCAACAGTGGGAGATATAGAGGAAAACTTCAGTGAGGATGCAGCCTGTATGTCAGGGAGCAAGGGGGAAAAAAAGGGAAAATAAGGAAGAGAGAGAGGAAAAAGTTTATCAGGGAAAGGAAATGTTGTCCCTGAGGCTGTATGTTCCAGGAGTGCCCTTTCTGATGGGATGTGTTGTTATTATTTTTTATGATTTGTATTACTGTAGTGCTCAAGAACCCTAGTTGTGGACCAGGACCCCATTGTGCTCGGCAAACATTGCACAGAAAGGGGCTCCCTGCCCCAAAGAGATGACAATTTAATTAGATAGCCCACTTGAGCTGCCCCCCCCTTTAGCCCAGTTTATTGGCCCTCTTAATGATTGAAAATGCCAGTTTCTTACCTAGGCTTTGTTGATTTTTTTACTTAGGACATGCCAGTAAACCTCAAGTTCATTATTGAAGGTATGGAAGAAGCAGGATCTCTTGGACTAGAGGAATTAATTAAGAAAGAAAATCAGCTTTTTTTCTCTGATGTTGACTATATTGTGATTTCGGATAACCTTTGGCTTAGCAACAGGAAACCAGCCCTCACCTATGGGACTCGGGGGAACCTCTGCTTCTTCGTGGAGGTACAAGAGAAAATGGCATTGATTTATTTGGGGTTGGGTCCTGGGGTGGAGGATGACAATGTGCTCTGTAAATACATGTTTGTGAGCAGAGGGGCAGACTGACTGAATGTGAGTGCAGACCCTTAATCCCCATTCTCTCCAACTTCCACACCCTCCCCGCCCTAATTTCATCAGCTCCATTCACTCGCTCTCTCTTCTCCCAATCCCTCTCCTACTCCCCCTCACCTTCTCCTCACTCACAATTTCATATTCACTTTCATTGCCTCCTTCTCTCCCTCTCTCTCTCCCTCCTCCAACCTCCCACCTCCCCTCCACCCCCAAGGGTACATCTATGCTGCAGCTGGAGGTGCAGTTTCCAGCTCGGGTAGACATACATGCGCTGGGTTTGATCAAGTTGGCACACTAAAAATAGAAGTTGTTGCCTTAGTGACGCAGGCAGTGGCACTGGCTAGCTGCCCAAGTGCAACCCTGGCCCCACTGCTGCCCCACCCCTGTGGGGCAGGCACTGCTCAATGCATGGTGTCTGCTGGCAGAGTGCACAACTTAGGGGGGACTGTTGGTTGAGAAGCCACACTAAGGTTCTGAAGCCACTGACCAGAGTAAGTAGTACATTGTAAGTGATTTACCAGCTTGCATGAGCCACTGGGAAATAAAGGGAGGACAGGAAAATAAATTCCCTATCTGGAAGTTTTTGCATCAGTAAGTAAGATGGGAGATGCTTCCTTGGCACCATCCTTCAATCTAATCCCTAGAGAACCAAATCAAAATCTATATCAGCCCCAGTACTGGAAAAAGAATAAAATTAGTCGATGAATATTTTGACTAAAAGCAAATCTCTCAAGCTCCTGAATACAACTCTTTCAAGCCATGCTGAAAATGAATGACTCCATCAAAACAGCAAAAATGATCCACGTCTGCTACTAGGTGGCTGCACAGAATGATACTTGGAGCTCAACCTGTCTGTCTCATACTATGCCGCAAAGCCACTAGGCCATCTTTCACTTGCCAGAAGCAGACCTGAGACCATTTCTGACCCGGAGTTTTCCACATTGCACCAGAGGGAATTTCCTAAAAGTACCTAGGATACGTCTTTTTTTAAATAGAGGCCATAAATAAACATAAATACCTGAGTCCCTATGGAAAGCCAGTGATTTGAAAGCATTAACATAATGTGCTTTGCATGTCAACATGTTGCCTTTATTTCATACAGGTACAGTGTGGGGAGAGAGATCTTCATTCAGGAAGTTTTGGAGGCATCATTCATGAACCAATGACCGATCTAATAGCTCTGCTTGGTAATACTGCATTTCATATGACTAGGCAATAACTAGTTGGTAATGGGTGAGGGTGAACCTCAGAAAGTTCAGTGTGGTTTGTGTAAGCATCCTGACGTTTGGATGATCGTGTGTGTGGGGTTTTTTTTTGTGTGAAGCTGGCCCACTGATTTCAGTGGAGTAGCTCAGGTGCTTAAACTTACACACGTTAAAGTGCCTTGCTGACTCCAGGCCTATTAAATTTGGCCCCTCAGTGCATGTCTAAAATACAAATACTTCCCACTATTTCCACCAGTGCTACCAGTGTTAGGAGCCCTAGAGTAGATGGCCCACCAGTTGCTGACATCATTGTCAGCACCATGTTTATTAGACTGCTCCAGGCAAGTCTTATTGACATGTGCTATTAGTGAAGGCTTCTGAAATTGGATATATTTTATGCTAATTCTTATATAAACTGAATGATGTTTCCATTTCAGCTTCATGAAAGACTGAACAGCAAACAGCAACTCAATGGGTTTTTTTAGTAAATTAGCAAATACCCCAAGCCAGAGTACTATATTGTTAAATGGGAATGAGTGACTTGACTAGATGTGACTGGGTCTTGGTATGAAAAAGAGGGGTCCCAGTATGGAAATGTTTGAGAACCACTGCCCTAAATTAAAGGGATGATTATGTCTGTTGGTATTTGTTCTGTAGATAGCCTTGTGGATACATCAGGTCATATTTTGATCCCTGGAGTCTATGATAATGTTGCTTCCCTTATGGAAGAGGAGAAGAAGTTATATGAAGCAATTGAATTTGATCTAGAGGAACATAAAAATAATAGTGGTGTGAAAAAATTCCTATATGACACTAAGGTACAGTAACATCTTTATTAATGGCTGCAGAAAGAGGTTAAATGACCCATTAATTACTTTCACCGATTACTCCAAACTTCAAGGTTTTTCAAGCAACAGTGAACAGAGGCAAAAAACCCCCCAGGAATCTAAAGAGTTAAAAGCTCAGGTAGGAAGTTTAAAAAAAAAAAAAAAAGATTTGGCCTGGTCAAATGCAAACATCTAGGGGAAAATAATCAAAAATGCAGATAGTCAATAAAAAGTAATAATACAAAAAAACCCTCCAAAACCCATCAACCCCCCAGAAGAAACAAAAAACACTTATTAGAGAGCCAAGGTGGATGACGTAATATCTTTTATTAGTATTCATATCATTACCTCACCCATCTTGTGTCTCTAATATCCTGGGACCAACACAGCTACAACAACAGTGTGTACAAAAAGCCACTTGTAAGATCATAGGCTAGAGAGTAAAGTTGTATTCAGTTTGGAAAGTGGATGGCAGCAGAAAAGTTGGTATAATTTGGGGCTGGTTTTATTTATTTAATTTAGATTTTGATGTCTGAAGCTTTTGACAGAATTTTAAGATGACGATCCCAAAAATGAACAATACCAATAAAACCCAGAAGCTAAGAACTGGTTTACCCAAGTTGTACCAGTATTCCTATGTCAGTTAGGGGTGTGATTTTTTAAAAATTACCTCTATATTTATGTTGGTGTAAAACCCTAGCACATATGCAGTTATTCCGGTATATAAGTGCCTTATACTGGTATAGCTTATTCCACTTCCTGAACCAGAATAAAAGCTATCCCGTTTTAAGCACTTTTATATTGATATAACTGAGTCCACACTAGGGAGGGTTTGCCACTCTAACTATATTAGTATAGTTAAAGCAGTACAAATTGTCTTTTTTGCATCCATCCGCTCCAGAGAATGGATGGGACTGTTCACTGATCACTGTCCAGTTACCCTTTCCATTATTTAAATATGAGTTGCCCATTATTAAAAGCTTTTCTTCCCTTCTTCACCGTCGGAGCTTGTCCATTCTGCTTAGTATCATTTGAACCAATGCATGAATAGGGTACGTCACGATGGTGTAAAACCTTGTAAGCTGAGTAGGCCAGCAGTTCTAAGGTGAGTGGCCACGGAGATCTGAGGGGTTTTAGTAGCTGATTGGAGACTACATAATAATGATCCCTGTTAACTTGGTAACAATCATATTCCAGGCTAATACACTCCTTTGCCATTGGCATCAGAATTTATTAGCCCAGGATACACCTACTACTTTGCAAACAAGAAGGACGCTCAACTAATTTATAAACAAATAGAATACAGTTTATTAAGAGATTATCAAATTCACGATCCTTCTGTAAAATTAGAAGTAATGACAATCGAAAATAGCTAAATAATCACTTCATAAGTCAGTTGGTATTTTCCTTTTTAGTTCATCATTTTTATTATACACTTTTACCTCCAAGACGCTCTTCCCATGCTGTTTTTTCACCTGTCTGCTCCTACTGTCACCAGAGTTGTACATGAATAACGTTCCCCTTCCATATATTGCCAGGCTGTAGGCAAATGTTGACTAAAAGAAGTAGCAGTGTTTACTTAGAAAGACTTTACCTGGCTAGGAGTTTTAATCACAAATCAATCAGCTCTAAATTGCAGAAATGATCAAGCACAAATTTTACATGCAAAATACTTAGCTTTTCAGTAGATTGTGTGAATTTTGAATGGCTGTGGCATTGTCACTTTTATTTTGTTTTGTTTGTTACATTATAAAGGAGGAAGTACTTATGCACCTGTGGCGTTATCCCTCTCTCTCTATTCATGGGATTGAAGGAGCTTTTCACGAACCAGGAATAAAAACAGTTATACCCGCAAGAGTAATAGGAAAATTTTCAATCCGGCAAGTCCCTCACATGGACATTTCAATCGGAGAACGTCAGGTAATACTGGCAAACTTGAACTTTTGGTCAGTCCTCTGCATGTTAAATTCCTGTTAATTTCAGAGATCCTCTCAACTCTTAAAATTTACAGCCAGAATAATGAACTGCATCTTTCCACTGCGTGGCCGTGTATGGGCTTGGGAGTGAAAGTGTGTGTCTGTGAGTGCACAATTTCTGGATGCATTATTGTTAAAGGATGTAATTTATAAACACTGTTAATGAAATGATGCTTTCCTTTTAGGTGATACAATATTTAGAGGATGTATTCTCTAAGAGAAACAGCCCAAACAAACTGAAGGTGTCTGTGCCAATAAGTGCAATGCCATGGGTTGCTGACATAAATTCTCCTCTTTATACAGCAGCAAGAAGGGCAATCAAAACAGGTTTGTTCTTTCTTTTATTATTTTTAACATCCACCAAACAATGTCACACTAACAGTGACTTGCACAAAGGAAAAGGAGCTTTTCTAAAATTAATGAATTTCTTGTTTGGAAGATTATTTAGATCTAGATAATTTGGGAAGTTGGGGCACGGTACTTATTCAGTGAATGAACTGTCCCTGTTTGGTGACACTCTTGCAGTTTGGTTTTATGATTCTAGTCTCCCAACAGTTCATGGGAGAATTTAGATGCAGGTAACCACTTACTGCTGCTGCCTTATGTATCAGGCACATTAAGGAAAACTCACCGCAGTGCTGCCCTTTGACATATCATGATGTACCTGATTTCAGTGGAGTGTAATAAATAAATAAATGCAGCACAGCAGGTAAATGGGGCAGCTATACAGATAAGCATTACCCTTGTAATGCTTGTAATGCTCCCACTTGTTGATAAAAGATCTTTTTAATGTTCCCCCTCAGAAATATCAAATATAGTTGTCTCTCTACCTCAGGAAAGGTAATGTTAGCAGGTCTTTCACTGCTAGATCTGAGTTAAAGTTTCTCTTCCCCTGGGACACTGTAAGCTTCTCCTGGAACCTCCAGGAATTGCCCTCCTCCCTTGCCTGTCCTCTTTTCTTCTCTCCATTCCCAAGCAACATGGTACAAATATTAAGAACCTGATTCTGCCTCTCTGCAACACTTTTGCTTAGGTTATTCAAAGGGGGCTTGGGGCAATAGAGAGGGTATTTCCTCTTCCCCTAGGAAGGAGTGTGCAATGCTGTCTCTTTCTCACTTCATGCATCTTTGCTTTCTACACAACATTAAATATATGTGACACAGTAGGACTCCAAATAATTTTGTTTACTAACTATATATAAACACACAAGGCCTAGCTACAGATATACACTGCTGCACTGTTAGATTCTGGTGGCTTCTATGATAGAAAAAATGGAAACCCATAAGAGGGTTACATTACTTTTCAAAAGCAGAAGACTCGCTTAGAGCACTTTAAAAAGAGGAGAAAACCTAAAACCCAGTGCAAATAGCTGGTTTTTGAGGCTTTGATTTAGCAAGGTATTTAACCATGTGCTTAATATTAATCATGTGAGTTGAATCACTGATTTCAATAGGACTACTTGGTCTTAAAGTTAGGTATATGCTTAAGCACCTTCTTGGATTGGGGCCTATATTACAAGGTAAGAGGCAGCTGGAAGATACTGTCTCACTTTTCTGTGTACTGCGATGCAAAATCAGAATAGTATCAAAAGACTAGCATAGTTTTCTAGGATGTGCATAATGGTATTATTACATCAGTTGGCTATACAGTCTCCCACAAAAGAAATACTACCAAGAAAAGTTTGTGCTGGGCAGAATGCCAAAGCTCACTAGCTCCAGTGAAGAGACCAATGTGTCTTCATTTTACTTCTGCAGAATTTCATTCTTTCCATGTGTTTCAGTTTTTGGACAAGATCCAGAAATGATCCGGGATGGCTCAACAATTCCTATTGCCCAAACGTTCCAGAATATAACAAGGAAGAGTGTGATGATGCTTCCAATTGGAGCAGCTGATGACGGAGAACATTCCCAAAACGAGAAAATAAGCAGGTTAAAATTTAAAAAAAGGCACCGTAAGAGACTAGAGGAGGAACTGAAGTACTAATACTCACCCACAGCAATCCCAGCATACTAGGCTGTGCCCAACTGATTCCAATTGACAAGTGATTCCAATTGTCTCTATCTGTTTTATCCAATAGAATCTATTTGGGGGTATTCAGAGTTGTATATGCTTATCTTAATGACAAAAAGTAAGGTTTTGTGGCTTTTTGCTTGTGTTGTTCCTGCAGTACCAAACAAGGCTAAAAAGGAATAAGATAGAGTCTGTTCCTTCTTCCCTATTAACAGAAGTGCATTGTTGCCAACTTGCATGAGTTCATTGCAAGTCTCACAATAATTGTTTTTTTTTTTCTTAAAGTCCCAGCGAGATGCTGGAATCAAGGGACTTGCATGATAATCTCAGCTGTCATTTAAAAAAAACCAACCCTATATGTTTCTGGTCCTTGTGATTGGGAAAAAAGCTTAAGAATGTGAAGGAAGTGTGCCCTAAAGTCTCCGACACATGAAGGCAAATAAAAATAACCCAAATTTTTTTTTTTAAAAAATCACATGAATTTTAAGCTTATTTTATGATTGTTTGGAGCCTGATGCATGACTTTGGAATGCATGGGGTCGCCAATACTGGAATTGTCTACCAAGTTCCAACGAGTTACACTTTCAGACAGTTAGGTTTTCACTGAGGGCATAATTTGAAGCAAATAGTGTGACTGAGGAAGGCTGCAGACCCTTTATAACAGGTGGTGATTTGTGAGATAGAAGAACTCAGCTTGATTCTTAGAACTCAGGTTTATAGTTGCAGGGTTGGCAGTTAGAAGAAAATATATTTTTCTTGTAAACTGACCACATATGATCTGGAAATCATTGAGAGACAGTAAACATGAAATCCCACTATCACATTCAACAGCTGTTTTTTCAGAGTAGACCCACACATTAAGGTTATGGACAGAAGTACTGAGGGGAAACTACACAAAATTTTAAATCCTCTGATCATCTTTCTGGAATACACACGTTGCTGCATGTCAGGAAAACCAGATGTTAAACAGCATCCTTAATTCATGCAGTTGTTCCATCCTCCCTCTCTGCTTTCCCCTTACCATGTGAATAAAGGAAGGCCTGACAACACTGTCTTTTTAGGATGGAAGAGAAAATTTATTGTCTTTTGCCTGACCCTTTAGTTTGTCTGTGTTAATATGCTGTTAATTCACAGAGAAAGACTTGCCATTATAGCTGGCACTAATGACAAACTTATGAGACACTTAGCAAAGAAATATGGATTAAGTTGGCACAGAACACTGCAGTTCCTGTCTCATCCTTAGAGATAGTTTTCCCACCCTCCCCATCCCTGAACTAGGATAAGGCATTTTGGTGGGATGGGATGGAGAAGCTAGCATGGCCATGTCCCATGTTGTGTTTGTCCTGTGGATAATTTGGAGATTTACAATTTAAGGGTTCTTAATCTGGCACCTTGAAACCCAAGCACTTAATTCTTCCTTTCTCTCTCCCTCCCCACTAAATGTAGGGCCCGATCTTGCAAAGTGTTGAGTGCCCTCAAGTCTAATTGAAACCCAGAAGAGTTGAGGGTGTCAAGCACCTCACAGGGTCAGGCCCTTGTTTTGCATAATCTGTTTAGCAACATTGGTCTTTCTTTCTTTTTTTGCATAGGCACAATTACATTCAAGGAACAAAACTGTTTGCAACCTTTTTCTTGGAGATTGCAAAGCTGCATGGACAGTTACAGGAAGCGTCCAACACGACGACTACAAACTGATGGATCCTGGCAAGACAATAAGCTATACACCTGTGTATTGGCTTAAGTATCTAACCTCCTCCTTTACTACTCTGGAGAAACATGTACAAACAATAAAATATTTAGAAGTTGTCATAAATATAAAGGGAAGGGTAACCACCTTTAAAATCCCTCCTGGCCATGTCTGAAACTGTTGAAAAATTAAATGCCTGCTACAGCTCACAACATGCACTAACTAGCATATAGACAGTGTTTAACCAAATCAAGTGATTCCTTGCGCAATACAATTGGATCAAAGGTGCCTCATGCTCATTGAATGGAATGTTTCAGTTTGTAACTTTAGCTTAGGGGGGTGTTTGGAGCAGGAAACACAGTTTATGTTATTAAAGTTTACTTATTTCCAGACATGAGCCAGGTCAGCCGATAGTTGGGGGGTACAGTGAGGGCAGCTGGCTTCAGCAGTGTTACTGAGCATGCTCAGTGCATTTGAGCATGCTCAATACAAGCCAAGCAGCAAATCTGGGGTGGGGGAGCATGTGACCCTGCATGCCCTCCCGCCCCGTATTACTGCTGCTTATTTGCAGTTTGGCAAAGATCGTATTGCTTTGTTCACATTCCAATTCCTGAACATAAGCTCCTTCGCAGTACCCCTTCTTTCCTTTTGGCTATGTATGAATTTCTATCAGATGATTTGCTGAAAAATATTTCACCATATTAACCTCTTGCCTGGTCACTTTTCCTATGCAAAAAACTGGAAATAAGATGAATATGCCATCAGGATCAGTTTGTCAAACTCAGTGCAAAGGATAGCCCAGTCCTGAAATCTCTCATTCTCATGAGCAGTCCCTCTGAAGTCAATGGAGCTTCTCAGGTGAAAAGAGATTTGCCAGTTTGGATCCTGCCTCGTTCTTTGTTTAATCCTATTCTCTTCCCATTTTGCTGTTTGTCATTAAAGATTGCTGTGTATTATTCTCCTCCTTAATGTGACTTTATTTTTATACACCAAGCATGAAGTCATTCATGAATATCTTTTCAGATGGATAGTGTATCACCTGAATAGGTGTTTTACTCCCAACTCAGCTGGTTCTAAATTGTCATCACTTTTAAAGTATCAATTTTAGGTTAAGAACAAATTAAAAACTAAGACAAGTGATGTGTGTTGAAACTACATTTACATATATGAGAGAGTTACTTTTGTTAGATTTTTTTTTTTTGTTAAACCTCTGGAAAAACTTACATGAGAAAGACAGACAAGATTGTGTGTCTAGTTCAAATCTGTATCTGTATCAAATCAAAATGGGAATGATTTTGGCCACTTAGTTAGTTTACACAGAAACAGAATGATCAATCCGGTTTGAAACAACTGAAATAGTGAGAGAAAAGAACTTTATTTTGTGCAACGATGTTATTCTTGGCAACATTATCCCTATTGTCAAAAAGATTAAATAATTAATAAATAATGGCAACTGACCTCTCTTCTTTTTTTACCCTACATAATAATGAGAACAAGGAAAGGGCAGAAAGTTTGGAATCAATAAATGGAAATGCTTTGTAATAGTTAACCTGTGGAATCAGCTGCTGCAAGAGGACATCAGGATAAATGCTACAGCAGAATTTTTAAAAAGTTGAACTAATTTCTCGTTTGTAGTTATGCAAGAGACTCCTTTCTGCTTCTGGGAACACTTTGTGCAAGTTCTCCACCTGCAATGCAGAAGTGTTACCACCTCCAAAAATATTCTGATGGAAAATGCCCAATAAGATCTAGTAAATAGTGTTATTGGGGCACTATAGAGCACTGTTACACATAGAGGTGCAAGTTTTGGGTTTTTTTAAGCCTGTCAGCAGTGTATCTGCCAGGTCAATACTGGTAAAAGAATGCCTCTCTGGGGATACGTGAGCTGTATAAATATTTTCCACTTTTACGACTAGCAAGAAGGGCAGTGCAGTGACTTTCTCCAGACTTGGCCCCCTATTGCTTCCTGCTCTTCCTGTCTATCTGTGTAAACTTTCCCCCAAATCACCACCTGTTGCAAGGGAGCCCTTAAAGAGGCCAGCATCCCTTTTCTTCCAGCTAACCAGACAAAGACCCCTCTGCGTGAAGGTTACAGTGGGCACAATCTTTGAAGAAATGTTGTGTTGTTAGTTTTGTGATTGTGATAGCTTCCCCAAAACAAAACTAACAGCAAGAAGGTTTTGTGGGGAAGAGACTTCAATATTGATGTAAAAATGGTAACAATAAATGTATCACACATTAGTCTTATAATGTTAGGTCATTAAAAACTTGCCTGTGCCTTTAAGGAGTTTTTAGACATACATTTAATTACCTTATCCTGTGACCTTTAGAAAAAAAATAACTCACATGCTTATGTTTTTCATTGCTTAGTTTATTAAATAAGATTTTCAGGCTAATAAAAGAAATTGTAGGAAGCTTTCCGTCACCTAGAGATAAGCCAAGTGTCAGCAAGATAACACCTTAGCCATAACACCATGTTTGTTACCCCAAAAAGTGCTAAAAGAAACTCTAAAATGTAGCTTTTGTAATTGCTATTTTTCTAAGTCTATATTTTAAAAATATGTTAATTGAGATTTGTGTTTTGCACAAAATATTTAATACAAGTTTTAATTGCCAACTACAAATGCTATAAAGACAGGTCATAACTCTAAGAAGACAAACAAACCAAGAAGAGCATCTTTCAAAGAACTAATTTGTCCCTTTGTTTAAGATACCAGTTTTGGTATAACTGCAAATCTTATCTCAAGAAAATAACCTTCTAAAAAACATTCCTGTTTTAGGAAAAAACATTCATTGTGTAAAAGAATGCAAGGATGATCCTTATTTAGGATACCTCAAATGTAGGGATGTGTTATCAGAGCCAAAAACAGCACTAAAAATGGGCTTTGTCAACCCTTCTTTTGCAAGAAAAAACCCACAAAATTCTTATGGAACGTAATTCCTTTATTAACACTCTAAAAATCTTTATTCTGAAACTTTAATAATGGGGAAGGGTTTTGAAGAAAATGTTTGTTTATTTCATAAATGTTGAAATGGCAAGTGCTTTGCGGCTGTACCTTCAGAAATATTTTGTCAAAATACAAAGCTTATAATGTAATTTCCTAATGTCTTTGCTATGTGAAGGGTAAAATCTTTTATGTACCAGTCTGAAATCTTGCTGAATGGATCACTAATATGAGAAGCTATTTAGATAGAGAATATTTATTAATTAGCTATCTGCTAGCAACTCCTCACCCAACTCAGAAGAACAAGGATCACCTCTTCAAAATTTGTTGAGACGAGAAAGCAATCCTTTAATAATTATTCCAGTTTGAAGATTCTCTTTAAGAATTATTTATTTTTAAAAGACTTTGAGAGCTAAAAAGCTTTTCTATAAAGAACAGGAGTGTTTGGACTCTTTCAAATCAGAATTTCAATTCCTGTTGAACCCTAATGAAACTGAAGAAATAGCTCAGAAAATGGGCTGAGTGAAAAGAGTTAAAGCTCTAAACTTAAAGATGGTGGAGGAATCTCCCTGCGCAAAGAAAAAGGCAATATAACTGTCAAGAAAGAATTACAACTCTAACACATATAGGAATTAACATATTACATATTAATAAGATAAAGAGGCTCCTAAGAACAACCCAGGAAGATACTGAGCCAATGAAAAGATGACTGAGGCTAATTTGGCATTTGCACTCTCTGTGCCTCCATCCACAATTTTACAGCACTCATCAATTAATCCTGTCCAGCTATACAAGCAAGCTGCCACAGCCAGCTAAGACGAAATAGAAGAGAACAGCCATGCAGCAGCAGTGAAAAGGCAACCTTCAATCCCCAATGGACATCACCAAGACTTCAACATGGAGCAGTGAGATGAAATAACTAAACCGTTACCAAGAGAGTAGATTTGAAAACTCTTGTAATGATTTTATTGGAATATTGACATGCAATTGTAACTGAACAGTTTATCCTGTTAATTACCAAATGGTTACAATGTATCCCTGGAGAGGAGTCAGGGGCTAAACACCAGAAAACAGAAAAACAGTGGGATTTAACTGGATTTAAGATTTTTGGCTTAAGACAGATCTGTAGATGGCTTTTTCTAAGTAACTGGTTTAAAAAGTTTATTTAATTTCCTTGGATTTTAGTTGCTTACTTTTCCCATTTTAAAACGCTTTTAGCTTATCAGTGGTAACCAAGCAGGACTCACCTGACCTTAAACGAAATTATTTTGCCCATCTATAAACAGTTTTCAGTTATCTAATGATTTATTAAGACTGAACCCCCAATCATTTTAGGAAATAAGACCTTAGCCTCAATTTACCAAGAGAAAAGGGCCCCACCCAAGCCAGGTCTCCTCTCGAAAGTGTAATCTCTGTAGAAAAACTCTCCACAGAAAGACATCCAGAAGAGATTATAATAGAAGTAACCTTTGTTTATCATTTGTGTTTTGATTAATGTTTTCTTTTACTTTCTTTAACAATCAAATAGCCAAGGTTAATAATTGTGATCATTTGCTCAGCACTAATCGTGGTGTCCTCTGTGGTATGTCAAAGAACCCCTTGCCTAAAATAGTGAGAGACACATGCCTGTCTTGGCAATAAGAGATAATTAGTAAGAGCTGGCCTGCCATTTCTTGTTTATCTAGACTAAACATTTTTAGTAACTGTTGGGATACAATTACTTGGCACTCAACAATTCCCTCCCATCCCCCAACAGTTTGCTCTCTGTCTTAAACTCTCAATCTAGAATACATTTTTAGGCCAGAGTTGCTTCCTGGGAACCAGGCACTGGTGTCTGGGCTGAGATTCCTGAAAGAGGGGTTTGCTTGCATGCCGCTTGTGACCCCTCTGATCAAGGAGTGGAGTGTACATTGTGAATAAACAGAATTATACTAAGAAAATATGTAGACACTATGTCACTGTTTTCTAACAGGAAACTTACCTGCAAGGCCCCAACATCTGCTACCGCTCAACAGAGGGGCAACAGTATTATACCCATGTCATAGCTGAGCAAATAAAAGGACAGAATTGTTCGTGAAGTGAAGTGCCCAAGGTACCAGTGTAAGTTGGTAGCACAGCTAAGAATAGAACCCTAACTAGTACTCAGCTCTAACTATCCCATCACACTCCCTCATTCAGCTTTTCCTTAGGACTTGCTGAAGTGGGGTTATTTAGTCTGCAGAAGAGAAGAGTGAGGGGGGATTTGATAGCAGCCTTCAATTACCTGAAGTGGGGTTCCAAAGAAGATGGAACTAGGCGGTTCTCAGTTGTGGCAGATGACAGAACAACAAGCAATGGTTTCAAGTTGGGGAAGGTCTAGGTTGGATATTAGGAAACTATTTCACTAGGAGGGTGGTGAAGCACTGGAATATGTTACCTAGGGAGGTGGTGGAATGTCCATCCTTAGATGTTTTTAAGGCCCAGCTTGACAAAGCCTTGGCTGGGATGATTTAATTGGTGTTGGTCCTTCTTTGAGCAGGGTATTGGACTAGATGACCTTCTGAGGTCTCTTCCAACTCTAATATAATATTTGAAGTTTGGAACTCTGTATATTTTCTCTCCAGTCCATTTAGCAGATCACTGAGTTCTCTAACCCAGTGGATTTTGGGCTGGAGAAGACAGTAAAAATCATTTAGTTCTGCTGGTATTTTCCTCTCCCTGTGCATGCCTAAAATGCAGCTAAGGTTCCTCAAACGCTGTCGATTTCATTATAACTTCTACATATCTTTACAAGTCTTTAATCTCCCTGAGTAGCAGTTTTTTCTGCTCTTCTCTGTAGCTGGCATTTTCAGGTTTTTCTGTGTGTTTCTGTCATATCTGTAATTTAAAGCAGTTAAAGATCCTTTAATTTCACATATCTATACTGGCAGAGCCCTTTGAGATGCATTAACTGTTTCCAGCATTTCTCCAAAGTCAACTTTTCCTATGCTGTTTTTTTTTTTTCATCCTCTGCAATCTTTGGAGCTCTGTGCTGGATTGCTGTTAGTTTAGGCTAATTGCATTGGCAGCCACCTAAGGCCAGAACCTAAACAATCATTTCACACGCAAGAATTTGCTCATGATTATTTTTAACCAGCTTAGTGGGGAGAAAGAACCTCCTGCCACAAGACTCACATAAAATAATTGTGTAAGAATATTATAGCAGGGTTACATATCTTAATAAAAATGTTCTCTTTATAGTAAGTCCAGACAGTTGAGGAAAGGAAACACCTCTTCATAATCTGTCTCAAATGAACCAAAGAATTGTAGTTTAGAGGAGAGATTTATTCCCTAGGTAAGATGGTATTAGTCAAGGCAAAAAATGAACACCATTATCTCCAAGTTGATCATGGCAGCCTAGGTATTCTGAATCTAAGTAAATGTGACAGATGTTTGCTCTACAGATATTGTTAACAAAATATTTGGAGAGACTAAATTACTAATGTAAATCAAGAGAGAAAGGGGGTGGGAATGCGTTATTGGACAAGAGTCTGCTGGAACCTGAGATAAAAGGAAGTCAACGCAGGTCAGACTGTTACCCAGTTACGACCATCTCTACCACCAATGCACTAATGAGACAATTTTGGAAGCTTCTCCATTTCACAGTCATGGTAAAACATGTCCTGGTTCATTTTTATGCTTTCTTGTTGTTGTTCTGTTGCACAAGACAATTATGCTACAGCCTAAAGAGAGTTTGAGCGTTTTTGAAAAATCAAGATATTTAGATGCCAGGAGGGTATTCTGTTTGGGGAGCCCCAGGGCACAGAAAGAGGATGTATGCGAGAGTCAGGCATTTTGCTTTTAGTTACAAATGTCCTGTGTGGGTATGTGTGCTTATACAAATCTTTGTAAAGAGTGTGAGAACATTGCAGTTTTGGCAAACATAGAAGCGCTATCGTTAAAAGCAGAGCAAAATAAAGGAAAGAACTGAGTATGCAAAGAGCAAAATGACTTCAAAGGAGTTTAGGGAGGAATTAAAGCAAATTTTAAAAGGCTCAATTGACTTAAATAATTTGATAGAGAATTAAAAGAATTCCAGACTTCCTAGGTTAAAAGCAATGTATCATGAACTTAGAGAAACTTCAGCTCTTCAAGGACCCAGTCTTGTTCCCACTAAAGAATCAATGGAAAATTTTGTCATTTTCTGGCATCAGGATTTGGCACCAGTTATGAAAATTTCAACAAGAAAAGCCCTTTATTTCTGCTAAGAAAAAAAAAAAAAGAGTGAGTGCAGCCACTGAAGCAAAATTAATAAGTAATAGTAATTTATATAATACTAGTGCTTACATCACACTTTTCATCCATGATTTCAAAGTGCTTTACAAAGGAAAGTAAATGAGAGGTCTAAGCCATACCATGCTGAGCACATATTAACCTTAAAGAATATCTTCTGATTCCCCCTTTTGACAATTTTCAGAGGTCTTGATTGTTTACTATTTTAAAAGCCAAATCCTGATCCCAGCCAAGTCACTGTCAAAACTCTTATTGAATCATAGTGTCAAGTATCAGGGGGTAGCCGTGGAAGTCTGTATCCACAAAAACAACAAGGAGTCCGGTGGCACCTTAAAGACAAACAGATTTATTTGAGCATAAGCTTTCTTGGGTAAAACCCCCACTTACCCACGAAAGCTTATGCTCAAATAAATTTGTTTGTCTTTAAGGTGCCACCGGACTCCTTGTTGTTTTTATTGAGTCATAGAATCATAGGACTGGAAGGGACCTCGAGAGGTCATCTAGTCCAGTCCCCTGCACTCAAGGCAGGATGAAGTGTTACCTAGACCATCCCTTACTGGTGTTTATCTAACCTGCTCTTAAAAATGATGGAGATTCAACAACCTCCCTGTTTAATTTATTCCAGTGCTTCACCATCATGACAGTGAGGAAGTTTTTCCGAATGTCCAACCTAAACCTCCCTTGCTGCAATTTAAGCCCATTGTTTCTTCTCCTGTCCTCAGAGGTTAAGAAGAACAATTCTTCTCCCTCCTCCTTGTAACAACCTTTTATGTACTTGAAAACAGTTATCATGTCCCCTCTCGTTTTTCTCTTTTCCAGACTAAACAAACCAAATTTTTTCAATCTTCCCTCATCGGTCATGTTTTCTAGACCTTTAATCATTTTTGTTGCTCTTCTCTGGACTTTCTCCAATTTGTCCACATCTTTCCTGAAATGTGGCACCCAGAATTGGACACAATACTCCATTTAGGCCTAATCAGCGTGTAGTAGAGCAGAAGAATTACTTCTCGTGTCTTGCTTACTACACTCCTCCTAATACATCCAGTATGATGTTTGCTTTTTTTGCAACAGTGTTACACTGTTGATTCATATTTATCTTATGGTCCACTATGACCCCCAGATCCCTTTCTGCAACACTCCTTCCTAGGCAGTCATTTTCCATTTTGTATGTGTGCAACTGATTGTTCCTTCTTAAATAGAGTACTTTGCATTTGTCCTTATTGAATTTCATCCTATTTACTTCAGACCATTTCTCCAGTTTGTCCAGATCATTTTGAAGTTTAATCCTATCCTCCAAAGCACTTGCAACCCCTCCCAGCTTGGTATCGTCCGCAAACTTTATAAGTGTCATTATCTAAATCATTAACAATATTGAACAGAACTGGACCCAGAACTGAACCCACTCATTATGCCCTTCCAGCATGAGAAGTGGTAAAATAATTTGGTACCAATGATGGTCAACCTCTTATTTATCTTGTAAATAGCACCAAGTGTGCAGACAGCATTTGAAAAGAAGAGCCAAACTAATAGTCCCTTCCACTTACTACAAGGTGCTGATGGTAGCTCACTAGCTTGTGTCCAATACTTCTCTATGCTTTTCATTTTGCATTAAATAAAAGTTGACTCTTGGGATGAATGATTTGGCACAAATTACACATTTTGTAAAGTTAAAAACAGCAACAAAATGCTTAGAGCTGAGCTGAAATGCTTCTTAACGAGATAAATAATATTGGGTGAGAGCCTAAGTCAGTAACTGAGCTCACGTGGCATGGAGAGGAAGGGGCAACAGGGAGCTAATGGTACCTTCCTGCATCACAGCCACCCAGCACCAGGGCAAGGTAGGGCTGCACAAGAGTGGCCCTAATTTATGCAACTGGCATATGGTCCCTCAGGGTTGTTCCTGTGCTCCCTCAGGGACCTCACCTCACTGGGGCATAGGGCATAGCTAGAGCTGGCTTCTTCCATCCCCCCGCCCTTCCCCATCCTTTTAAAAATCAAGATTGGATATTTTTCTAAAACATATGCTCCAGGTTACACAGGAATTATTTCAGGGAAGTTCTATGGCCTCTGTTGTGCACCCTCAACATGCTCCCTGCCTCCCTCTTTTCCTTTATAAAGGGAGCAGGTGGGGAGAGGGAGGTGGGAGATGGGAGGCACAGAAGGAAGTGGAGTTTTCCCTGGCACAGGGAGAATTCTCAGATGGCCACCGCTGGTGCATTAAGGTTCTTTTGTGCCACTTGCTGAAGAATCTGGCTCTAATGTATGTAGATTTTATGGGGCAGATTCTCGCCTGTACTCTGGCTCCATTATACCAGTCTGCCAGTGCAAGGGGGCTGTAAAAATGGCAGGTATGGTTGAATAGGGATTCCCTGAGCATGGGGGAAATCCCTGAATGAGGTAGGGTTACCTTAGTAGTTCTTATACCACTTCCCATTCATAGCTCCCTGGCTTTGTAAAGCACCCAGCTGCACCTTTATTCACCAGCTTTCAGAATGTTCTCAGTGCTCCTCTAAAGCATCCCCAGAACAGCAGCCCTGCAAAGGTGCTATAAATACATTTTATCCTCTGAGGCTGAATACAGACTTATAAATACAGTATGTACTTTTTTTTAAAAAGCATATGGCATCTGAGGTTGTGGAGTGGGAATCTGAGATACTAACTGTTGTCATGCTGGCCCTTCCCTCCCTCTACTAACCCAACATCTTTCCTTCTTTCTGTAGAACGTGTCAGCTGCTACCATCAGGTGAATGGAGCTGTGATGTTACAGTGGTCACTTTAAAAGTTTCCCCATTTTGTTCCACCAGTCTAAGAAATACACCCAATACCTAAAATGGGTTTTACCACTGTGTCATGGATCCACAGGATTGGTGCTGTACTCCTAGCTTTTGAACAGTATCCAGGAGAAACAGCTTCAGTGTAGCCAGACCTCCAAGGGATCCCACTTTGCCTTCAGGGTAGGCCACACAGCCTCACTGCCTCCTGAGACTGAACCGCCAGGTCTCCAGCACTCCTGTTTCACACTGTGAGCTCTGATTATTAGGGACCAAGAATGGAGCTAGAACTGGAATAACATGAAATAAATGTCTTCCTACGTGTTTAAGCACTACCTGACACTGGTATTAACTAAACTACCCAGGTCATTCTTTGCAATGGCAATACATCTTCCTGGAAACACACAGACTGAGCATTGTATAAAGTCTGAGAATCAAAGGATTAACTTCTTTTACAACATTTCAAATTTTCTTTTACAGACTGTCTTGGTGTTTGCCATATCGTTCATGTCACTTACTACAGCAGTATCTGTGCCTTCAGATCAAATATTTCAGTATATCGAAGAACATCAAAATGAATATGTACAGGTAAGGCCCATTGCTGCACAGTAAGAATGTTTGCGATGTAAGTTTCTAGTCATATGAATTCTCAAAGTAGGTTACACATTAAAAAAAAAATCCTAAAATGGTTCAATTAGTCATCATAGCACACTTGGTATTTTACTTCTGGTCATAGTATTTTTTGCTCTTTTTGGATGAAAAGTGATATATACATGCAATGAATTATTTTTGGGTAATATTTAATAAGATTTTCATAAGAGAGTAGTAGCTATAATAATAAACACCTAGCTCTTGTATAAAGTTTTCATCCGTAGATCTCAAAGTGTTTTACAAAGGAGTAAGCAGACTTATATCAGTTTTCTGTTTCTTACCACTAATAAACTTTAGCTTCTAAAAGTACTATGTACAGGGCAATTATTTTTTAACTATAAATAGGAATAAGGAATCAAAGAAGGCCAAAACCTCACCATTGCAGTTTTTTTACCGAAGTAAGATATGCAAGATTTTTCCTAGGAGTATTCCGTGCATCTATAATCACACAATTTATCACAGAATGTACCCTTTGCCAAACCGTTACTATAAGTTTGTGTTCTGGAATATAAGCTTTATATATTTATATATTGTAGTGCTCAGGATAGTGAAGATAACCTTGAAAACCTGAGCTTTGTGTAAATTGACTTAATGTTGTCTTCCTCATTCTGCAACCAGCCTGAAACAATACCTTTGAACTGACCTGTTCATTTCCAGTAGTTTTTTTGACCCAGAAGCCTAAAATGACATTTTAAATGTTGAAATTAACAATCCTGCTACTCATTATTTTAACAGAAACATCCAACTAAAGAGCCTCATCTATTCCCTACCCAGTTACCAAAACTTCCAGCATCTCCCCTGACAACTTCTACTATGCAGCTATGCACTGTGAATACAAAAAAAGCATACCATATTGGTAACTGGAAGTGTGGGGACAGTTTAAAGGAATTAAACATCAAAATAAATAACACAAGGGGCACTGTAATGATTTAATAAATCATTTTCATATTTAATTTATTAGAAAGCTAAATTTCAATGAACCTTCCATAAATTTTCAGGCTAAATGTTAAAATGTGACATTATAGGATTCCACGGTTGTAGCTTCTTAGAGCTCACTTTTAAAACCCTAATTCACACTGAGTTAGTACCTTTCTACACAGGCATTTGCATTTATTTCAACAGCACAACTGGTGGAGGAAGTTACAACCCAACATGAATACATTTGGCAGAATTAGACCCTCCTTGATTTCCATATGAAATGTGTTCAGTTTACAAATAAAAATATTTTAAATAAATTTTTAATAAATGTTAGCTATGCAAATTTGACCTGGAATCTACAACTTAAGCTGAGTTCTTTCCTTTAACATATCATCTTCTGTGATAAAGGTTCTGATGACAAAATTAGGCCATCACTGACCCCTATACAACCTCACTGTTTAGGAAATATGTCTCCAAGGACACCTGTGCAAAACCATTTTCTTCAATGGATTTGTAGAGGTGTAACTGTTTGGAATTTAACAAACAAACAATTCTACTGATGATGCACAAGAAGCACTAGAATTCAGCTCTCTCTCAACTGCATTGGCTCTGCAGAGCTATCATTAGTGAAGAACAACAGAAACTTATTATTGCCGCGAACAACAAAAAAGAAGACCCTAAGGACACACAAGGAGCAGTTTTCTGAAGTAAGAAGGTGCCATTCATCCATAATCAATTTGCAGAGTAGAACCACATTTCAATTTCTTAGCTTTCTTAATTTGTTTAATCTGCTTAGGTCCCAATACAGGAATGTTCTGCATAGGAGAGAAGACCCTGTATCTATGAAGAGCTCTGCAGGATTCAGGCCATAGTTGATATTTAAAAGCTATGTGACTGAGGATAGAACAATCAATGTGATTGTCAAGCTGTCTGGAGTGGCTCACAACCATGAGTGCCAACCTCAGGGCAGACTGAAAGCAGAAAGCAGGGCAGAAACCCCAAATTAGTTGTATGTTCTCCAATTAGATTTCAACCAATCCAGTGAAAAATGTGAACTCCTAAAGCATTGTAACAGTCTTATCGTGGAGTCACAGACAGTCCCCTGGGCATTCCAGTCTATGTTGACACCCAGGCAAGCTGGACTATGTGATAGACAGCTGTTTTACACCAAAGATTGCAAAATATTCAGGTTACTCCCAGTCCCAAAGGACCAGTCACTTACCCCAGGTAAATTGTACTCAGCTCTCAAACCAATGACAATGCCTGTAGCCAGTCCTGTAATAAATTAACTAAAGATTTATTAAGTAAGAAAAAAATGAGTTATTTATGGGGTTAAAACAGGAAACATACACATACACAAATGTGTGTGTATGTTTCCTGTTTTAACCTCATAAATAACTCTCATTTCTTTTCTTAGATTTTAAAAGGTAATATATGCTTCTATAATAAGTAGCTCTATGTGTCCCTTAGGGCTGACCCATGCCAAGCAGCATGGGGATCTCTTGCTTACGTTTAGGAATCTTTGCCCCTCAGACGCTAACCAGCATAAAGATCCAGTTCCCCATGTCAGGGATTTTTATCCCCTTCACCCCAGAACCCAAACTGATAGAACAAGTGCCGGTGCCTGGCTCCTCTTCATGTAGGCTGGGAGGGCAATCAACCAGGTCTTTGTCCCTTTGATGCCTTACAATGGCTCATCTGGTTTCAAAGGCCCTCTTGTCTGCTGGACCAGTGCTTTACACTAATTAACGCTTCTTTTCCTGTTTGGTGAGTTACATGATTACAGAGGTTTACAATGAAAACACTCAATATAAATGTATACCATGGGAGACAGGCATTATAAGTAGGATTAATGCATGCAGCATCCTACAAGCATTGTCTAAACACTAAACACATTCTTTTAACACTAATATCTACTTTAACCATACTAACACCTAGGTAAGCCAGACTGGTTTCCAGGTATGCATTTGTCAGTGTTCAGCAAAGCCCTGGGCCTTGGCATCGGCTGGCACCTCGTGTGCCAGGGTCACAGTAATTTTTCAGGTAACTTTCATTTCAGAGGGCCGTGACATCAGTTTAGAGCGATACACTGCATATAGATCATCACCTTCAATTTTCTTATCCCGCAGAGACTCAAAGATTGGGTGGCCATAGAAAGTAACTCCAATGACCCTGCAGAGAGACATCTGGTTACAAACATGATGCTTTTGGCAGAAGAGAGGATAAGAAAGTTAGGTGGAACAGTTGAGATGGTAGATCTGGGCATGCACGAGGTAATACATTTTCACTGTGTTTTCAGGATGCAAATCTAAGTATCTATTACCAGCTTTTGTCTAGTGCGATAACAAATTATCTAAGCGCTGTACAAGTTAAGAAGCACACCTATAAAATGGGTTACCACTGTAACTGTAAGCATGGTTTTTCTTTGGCTTTTGCATCAATAAGTAAAATGCAGACTACAAAGAAAGCCTCATTTTATATACACAGGAACCAATAGTGTAATCCTGGTGGATTAAGTGACCAGAATGTAAAGGGCCATCATCAACTTTAAAATCATGTTTACGAGGCAGGGGAACCAGTGAGCTACGAAGATCCTTTCCTCTCCTTTTTCAGAGGCCCAGAAGAGGAGATGACAGGAGACAGCAGGAAACATAATTTCTGTTCCTCATTCCCAAGGCTTAGAAGGAGTAGAACTGGGTGTTGGTGGAAGCATCTGCCTCCTAGCACTAGAGCTTCCAGAACTTTTCCTTATCCCCTTAAATCCGAGGCAGTGCACATACCAGTGATGTTTTTAATGTTATGTGACTGGAACCAGGACCAACCTCCTGCAACAAAATGGCTTGCATGTCCCTAAGACCATTTCTTATTTTGTGCTACAGCTAGCATTGTTACTCTTTTGCTGCATATATAACCATTCACTGCTCCAGAAAATGATATATCCTTGCATAGTAGCCTTAGGATGTAGTTTCTAGTCTGCTTCTATAAAGCAGTCATTCTCAAATTATTTTTACAATGACAGAACTAAACAGAAAACATTCAAAAATCAAGACAAGTAGGATCAAAATCATTCCTGGTGCAAACTCCAGTGACTTCATCATCTATAAATGCTTGTTTTGGAAGCCTCTATCAATGTGTATATATATAATGAAGCTCTTTGATTTATTTTAGCTACCCAATGGAAACAAAATCTCTTTGCCACCAGTTATTTTGGCAAACATTGTAAAAGATCAAAAAAAGCCTATGGTATGTTTTTATGGGCATATGGATGTGCAGCCGGCAAAAATTGAGGATGGATGGTCAACAGAGCCTTACATATTGACAGAGAAAAATAGTAAGTGCTTGAGCAGCTTGAAAGCTTTCAGCAACTGGCTTATCATTTATACAGTGAGACCCTTTATACTAAAGCAGCTTCCCTACCATGAAAGAAAAAGAGGAAGATCATTCAAATAACATAGAAACAAATAATTTTCTTCAGGTAAAACAGAAAAACCTTCTGGGAAATGCCTTCCTTGTCTGTGAATAGATTTTCCACTAAAATCCTTTGAACTTTTCTTTCCTTATATGCAAAAAAAAGTACTTGTCCTAAAAATACAGATGCAAGGAAGATCTTGTGTCAAATTCAGATTGTATCTTGCACATGTACCTACACCAGACATTAGAGGTGAAATTCTCGCTCCACTGAAGCCACACAAGTTTTGCTATAGACTTCAGTACAGCCAGGATTTCACCTGAGGTGTCCAAATAGGGTACAACTTTTGTGTCTCACTGCCAGTTCCTGTCAAACCCACAGAATCCATGCTTTGCTGTTCCTCCATGGCTAGAAAAGCAGGAGAATTCTGGGGCAGGAGGCATGGTTCAGACATTTAGCTCCCTTGATCAGTTATTATTTTCCCCCATTCAGACTGCTTATGTTCCTGCTGAGTACTCTGTATGGGTGGCTGTGCTGAATTTGTGGGCATTCCCGGTCTGATCAGAATAAGGTTGCAAAATCAATATTGTTTTGTACTATTATTTTCTGCCAGTTTTGGAAGGCAATGCTGAAGAGAACCTTGCTTTAGCCCCTTCCATTCAGCTTGTTATAATATTTCTCCTACTCAACTATCACCCACCAAAGAACTTTAATTAGAAATGAGCATACAAAAGGAAGAGTGCCCAATATAAACATTTACTACAAGTAAATATGGACTTTGCAATTATTACAGTACAATCCAATACTGGAATTTGGAATAGCAAAGGTCGAGTACTCCTGCTACATTTTGAACATCACAGGGATAGCTTGTCCTGGCTACAGGAGACCTTGTTATTCATATACTGATTGTTTTTCTACAGACCACGTAGAGCTCTGTGTTACATATACAACCTGTCAAAAAACTATTTTAGTTGTATGCAAGATCATAAATAGAAGGAGGAAATACTATGGAGTTTGTAAAGATTTCATATTTATTAATAGTTTAAAGGGTAAATTCTATGCTAAAAATTGATTCAGTAAAATATTGCATCCTGGGACTATATATTTATTGTGTCCCAGTAATTTCCACATAAAAGATGGTCAGTTTACAAGTAAAAAGATAATTTTCTAAAGGCCATCCTGGCAAATTCATCCTGAGCTTTGAAAGTCTAGCTGGTTTCTTTCCTATTTGTTCAGAGCACAATGATGAGTAATAAGATGTCTACAGATAAACTATGCCTCTATTACACCTGTGCAACATCACTGTCTGCATTTGCCTAACGAACTAACTTTATTAGTTATCATGATCTCATTCTATTTTGTTTTCAAGGCAATCTCTATGGACGAGGTGCATCTGATGACAAAGGACAAGTTCTCGCTGTGCTGAATGCAATTGAAGCACTTCAAAAACATGTATGTGACTTTTTATTCCTTTAACTATAAGTTTGCTATTTTCAACTATGTAATTAATTGCTTATAAATCTTTTTGAAACATTTCCTTATAGGAACTTCCTGTTAATGTAAAGATTCTGCTTGAAGGTATGGAAGAAGTAGGGTCCATTGGGCTAAGTATGCTAGTTGAACAGAGAAATAGTACATTTTTTTCTGACGTCGATTACATTGTGGTCACTGACACTGCATGGCTCAGCAACAAACCTGGTATTACATATGGGACAAGAGGAAACTGCCACTTCTTTCTTGAGGTATAGTGCAAAAAGGAGCATGATCTTATACTCACATTAACTGAATATTAGCTGAGTACTTATCAAGTGGCTTTATATTTATCCAGGTCCAAACACTAACAGCCCTACTGAATATATAAACTCACAGGGTTAAAGATAGATACAGGATTATATAATGATTCCATTTCTGTTATATATGGTAGTAATTTTAAGGCTGCACTAAAGGAATCACTACTCTGTAGTACTGGTATATAGAAAATAACAATAGTAAATTCACCTATAAGCACATTATGGGTCAAATTATCTTTTCAGTTGTACCAGTGCAACCTCACTGAAATTAACTAATAGGAGAATTTGTCCCTCTATATATTCAAAGGGCTTTACAAACTATTAGCTAATGAATTAAGGATTTCCTGTACATGCCAGTCTCCAAGGAATTTATCTAGGATCATGAAACACATGGGATTTAAGGTTGCAAGCAGAGATTTATCATTGGTAGGGTTAGTGGTCTATCTTCATAAATTATAACAAAAAATCACAGTCTGATAGTAGGGAAAGGGAAAAAGGCAGAAGTCGTGAATTTATAATGACGAACGACAAAAAAGAGGCCACATTATTTTAATCAAAATATCTTTTATTTTCCATAAAAACTACTTCATTCTCTATAATCTATTATCTTAAAATGATTTAAAACTCTTATTCTGGTGCCTGTTGGTTCAACAGCAGTGCAGGAAGTTGGAAGTATAGCTCCTGCTTTATCTTCTTCTGCACTGCTTCCACCTCTGAAAAAGGCAGCTAGGACACCACTGTTGTGCAGGCATCTCTCATCATGTCCGCTTCCTAGCTATGTAAACGCCACAATGTTTTACTAAAAAAACCAGAGATATTGTGCCATTTCATAGTAAGCCCGCCCCCAATGACAGGACAATAAAAAGGGAAGCGGGCACTTCATTTTGTGCTAAAAGTTTCATCCTGATTGTCCAGAAAATATATTTACTCTACATTACATTTGGAATAGTAGAAAATATGAAAATGTCAGTTCTCATTTCTAATACCCGCATGTTTTTCAAAAATATGGCTCTCAAGATTGTCAAACTAGTCTGTCAGCATCAGAAGAAGTAAATGGATAATAGATTCTTTAATATTAAGTCAAATAAATATTATTTAAAGAAAGGTGCATTAGCACATTTGTTTTTTTTCCACAGTGAAGGAAAAGAGAACAAAATGGCAAGCATATAAATTGTGATGATGTACCTAGAAATCCTGAAATGAAAATGACCATAGACTTTTCCCGTTGCCTTCCCTATGGTTTTTAAAGGAAGTATCAAGTGTGTTCATCTATTCTATTTTTGCAGGTGCAATGTGCTAAACGAGACTTACACTCGGGGGCTTTGGAGGAATATTACATGAAGCAATGAATGACTTAATATTTCTGTTAAGTAAGTATTTCATTATCTATGAATAAATGTCATGTTCTAGGACTGTCATGGTCCATTTCAAAGTATATCAGGTATTGTTCTTACTCTCACCAACTAATAAAAAGCACAGGAATATAAAAACATGAATTACATGTACTGGGCCTGGTACTGACATTGTTACTCAGGCAAAACTCGTATTAATTCCCATGAGGCTTTTTTTTAGCAAGGACTAAGTAAAGAAGATTTCAGGATTGGATCCATAGTATGCATAATTGCAAGTGCTGCAGCATTTGATCCAATGGTGTATTTTACTTTAATTATATAGGGCCAAGTAAATTTAAATGGGCAAAAAAGGAACAACTCTGTGTGAGTAGGGGTGGCAGAATTAGGCTCATATTTATTTTAAAGCAACACCAGCAACCTGTGTTTACTTTAATGTGTTTGTTAACATTGCGACCCCAATTCTGTTTGTTTCATGTACCATGTACTGGATCATAACATGAAAGGACTCTGTGTTGTTAAACTGCACTAGATCTTTACTGAAGCAGCTATTTACGCAGGTACTGCAACAGCAACTAGCATTCAAACTGTGTGCAGACAAACAGACTTCTAGGTGACAGGTTTCCGTGATAGCCGTATTAGTCTGCATCAGCAAAAAAAAAAAAAAAAAAAAAAAATGAGGCGTTCTTGTGGCACCTTAGAGACTAACAAATTTATTTGGGCATAAGCTTTCGTGGGCTAGAACCCACTTCATCAGATGTATGAAGTAAAAGATACAGGAGCAGGTATAAATACGTGAAAGGATGTGGGTTGCTGTAGCATTCTGAGTTGCAGTTTACGTCATTAAAAAAAAATTTCAGAAATACTTTTATTGAAGGAACACTTCATGTTGAAAGGAACCTCTTGCAACCATTACTTGGGCCAGTTCCAGAGACTCCTTTTTTAATTATTATATTCTTCAGAAAATAAATGGCACAAACCATGTTTTTCTTTTCTTTGGCTCCCATTCTCTTGGTATGACAATGGCTCTCCTAAATTGCCATATCATTTCTCTTTTTCCATCAGGTCCACAGGTATCTATTTGTGTTAATTAAGTGCCTATCATCAAAACACCTAAGCATTGTCATCATCATCATGTTCCTATTACACCTCTGGCGTTTAGGGCAGTGATGAAGCTCCTCCACTCCTGTCTGTTTCTGGCAAGTCTTTCAATAGTTCTCAAGCTGAGCCCCAGGTTTTTCAGCTTGGCTTCCACAGCTCTTCACCATGTTGTTTTCGATTATCTTCAGGTGTCCATCTTATTGCCACTCTGGTGATGGAATCAGTTTCCATCCAAAGCACATGACCAATCCATCTCCAGTGCCTCCTGGCAATGATGGTACTCATATCCTCTTGGCTGCACTGTGTCAATAGATCTTCGTTTGAGATCGTTCTGGGCCAAAAGATACGGAGGATTTTTCTGAGGCAGGTTGTATGGAATGAAGACGGTTTGGACATGTCATACTTTCTCATTCCCCAGCATTTTGACTATAAAGTAATGTTGGTTTTGCTATTGTATGCTGATGATTTCCAGACTGTATTTAAGCTTCTGAAAGTGTTCCTGTCTTTACTGATTTTGTTCAGGATATCCTGGCTTGTTCCACCATCTTGGCTGATGGTGCTGCCTAAGTATGTTAATGCTTCTACATTGGTAAGAACATAATCCTCTATCCATACTGGTGATGGTGAGGCAATATTAAAGGTCATGATATCTGTCTTATTGTGGTTGATTTTCAGTCCAATTTGCTGGCTGAATGCACTGAGTCAAGTTTTTTTTCTTGTATATGGTGTTGGGTATGTGATAGAAGAGCAAGATCATCTGCGAAGTCCAGATCTTCAAGGGATGAGAAGGGTGTCCATTTAGTACGTCTTGGCATGTGTTCTGTTGTATGCTGCATTACCCAGTCGATGGCAATGTTGAAGAGGATTGCAGACATGAAACACCCCTGACGTACTCCTGTTTTGACTTCAAAACTGAGCTCACTGTGATCAACACTGCACATAAAGTTGAAATAAAAGCTTTTGATGATGTTGATTATATGGAAAGGGATTCCATATACCTGCAGAATGTGCCATAGGCTGGTCCCGTGAATGCTATCAAAAGTCTTCTCAAAGTCTATGAAATTTATGTAGAGTTACCACTGCCATTCTAAGCATTGTTCTATTATGTTTCATAGAATGAAGATCTTGTCTGTACAGCCACGCCCTTTCCGAAAAACCAGCTTGCTCTTTTCTGAAAACGTTATATATAACGTTTTTTCCCTTTCCCAGACTGATGTAAATAGAGGGGCCAGGATAGATGCTGCTAACTTAGGATTTACCTTGAACAATTCTGCATTCAGGTTGCCAGGAGCTTTCCCATTTTTTAAGGATTTGATGGCTTGAATGATCTCTTCCATAGCTGGGGTGTCTGTGTTGATATCAAGATCTTCTGCCTCCTGGATGTTTGATTCCTCTTTAGGTGACTCCCTGTTCAGCAATTCTTTGAAATGCTCTGTCCAGCGCATTTCTTGTTCTTTTTCGGTTGTTAGTAGGTGTCCTTGTTTGGTTTCTGATGGGAGTGTTTGTTGGTGTCTGCTGTTTACCACTGATAAGCCATGTCATTTTGTAGATGGTTCCTTGTTCACCACAGGCAACTGCATCCTCTGCTTGTGTTGCCAGATTATCAATATAATGCCATTTGTCCGGTCTCACAAGGCGTTTGACCTCCCGGTGTGCCTTGCTATTACTGCTCGTGGTATTTGTCCTTCAACTTCTGGGATTTTGTGTCTAAAACTTTTTTCTTCAGGGCTCATCTGATTTCTATGGCATTCCATGTGCTGGGTGTAATCCACCACTTCCTTCTCTTCTGCCTGCACCCTAGACAGGGTTCACTGCTGTTTATAAATTGCTGTTACTTTGTCCCACTTCTTGTTGATCTCGTCATCTGCATTCCCCCCATCTTCATCAAGGTATGTAAGTGCTTGAAACCAGTTCTTTAACTGCAGAACGAAGGCTTTCTGTATTTCAGGAGACTTTAGCTTGTCAATTGCATAACGTCTATGTCCCTTGTTTGGTGGACCCACACATCTCAATTTTAACTAGATGGAGGCTGTCACGAGGTGGTGGTTGCTGCCAACATCTGCACCCCTTCTCACTTTCACATCTCTCGGTGAGCGCTGCCATTTGCCATTAATCATGATATGGTCAATTTGGTTCTTATCTCTGCCATCTGGAGAACACCATATCAGCTTGTAAATTTCACGATGTTGGAATAGGGTTCTGGTGATGACTAGGTCATTCATATTACAGAAATCAACAAGCCTCTTTCCGTTTTCATTCATGGTGCCACACCCTTGTCTTCACATTGCTCTGTCGTTTGTTGTAGTTACCGACCTTGGCATTCAGGTCTCCCATGACGATAGTTAGGTCGTGGCATGGTACTCTCTCTAACTCCGCCTGTAGTGTAAGGTAGAATTTGTCCTTTACTTCTTCATCACTGTTATTTGTCGGAGCATAGCACTGAATCAGTGATATTATTGTTTCCCTTTCCGTCTGGCTCTCATAAATCTGCTGCGGATGGACTTCCATTCAAGCAGGGAATGCTCCACTCCCTTCTTCAAAAGGATTGCAACACCCTCATGGTGTTGTCCAACATCCCATCCAGAATACAGCAAAGTTTCTCCCAAGGCTGTTGTTAATCTTCCTGATCCCGTCCATCTGCTCTCGCTTACACCCAGGATGGGTAAGCTGTAGCGTCTCATCTCTGCTGTGACCTGAGCTAACTTCCCTGTTTTGTACATTGTCCGTATGTTCTAAAAACCAAGTTTAGTTTTTGTCTTGGTGTTGAGCACTTCTGTCTTCATGCCAGTGGCTTCCTTTTGGCTTTCACCACTGGCAGTTATACAGTTCATTGACCCCTGAAGGCCATCACACACAGTAATGGTCGATTTCTCCATCGCTGTTTCCGTAACATATTTTTTTTTACAGGACAGGGTTGTTAGCCCTGTGCCTAACCCCCAACCTGGAGGACCAGGGTTTGTTTTGTCTGGCCCCTTCCCCCACAGATCAGTCTGGCATGGTTCAACCTACCAGGAGCAAAAAGCCCCTGCCGACACAGGCTTTGGGGATCATTAGAGCACACAAGCTGTCTTGCCATGACAAGGCACGGATACCAGAGGACAGTACACTGTACGCATTGTACAAGATTTGAAATACACGAGGAACACTCTAATCCAGTGGTTCTCAAACTGTAGGTCAGGACCTTAAAGTGGGTCACGACCCTCTTTTAATGGGGTCACCAGGGCTAGTGTCAGACTTGCTGGGGCCTGGGGCCGAAGCTGAAGGTTGAGCCCTAACACCCAGGGCTAAAGCCCGAGCCCCACCAACCAGAGCCAAAGTGCAAGGGCTTTAGCCACGGGTGGTGGGGCTCAGGCTTCGGCTTTGCCTCCCCCCATAGGGCGGCAGGGCTTGGGCTTCGATCCCCCTTCCTGGGGTTGTGTAGTAATTTTTGTTGTCAGAAGGGGGTCACGGTGCAATGAAGTTTGAGAACCCCTGCACAGTTTTCCTTCCTATACTGGGTATAATTGGGGACAGTTCAGCGGTGAGTTGCTAAGTGGACAAGTGACTGAATTTCTGATACCAGTATTTGCCAATATTTTGAGCAGACATGAAGTTTTCTTTTGTAAACCACCTGCCTGTGAGACAATTCGGACAGGAATGACATAAGAATGGCCATACCGGGTCAGACAAAAGGTCTCTCAAGCCCAGTATTGTGTCTTCTGACAGTGGCCAATGCCAGGTGCCCCTGAAGGAATGAATAGAACAGGCAATCATCAAGTGAGTTATCTCCCATCACCCATTCCCAGCTGCTGGCAAACAGAGGCTAAGGACACCATCCCTACCCATTCTGGCTAATAGCCATTGATGGACCTATCCTCCATGCACTTACATAGTTCTTTTTAGAGTCCTGTTAGCCTTGGCCTTCACAACCACAACATCCTCTGGCAAGGAGTTCTACAGATTGACTTTGTGTTGTGAGAAAAAAACACTTCCTTTAGTTTATTTTAAACCTGCTGCCTATTAATTTCATTTGGTAATGTGAAAATTCTTGTGTTATGAGTAAATAACACTTATTTAATTTCTCCAAACCAATCATGATTTTATAGACCTCTTGTCTATCCCCCCTTAGTTGTCTTTTCCAAACTGAAAAGTCCCAGTCTTATTAATCTCTCCACATGTGGAAGCAGTTCCATATCCATACTCATTTTTGTTACTTTTCTGAACCTTTTCCAATATCTTTTTTGAGATGGGGCGATCACATCTGCATGCATGGATTTACATAGAGGCAATATGATCTTTTCTGTCTTATCTATCCCTTTCTTAATGATTCCCAACATTCTGTTCTCTTTTCTGACTGCCACTGCATACTGCGTTTTCAGAGAACTATCCACAATGAGTCCAAGATCTCTTTCTTGAGTGGTAACAGCTAATTCTGACCCCATCATTTTATATGTATAGTTGGGATTATGTTTTCCAATGTGCATTACTTTGCTTTTATCAACATTGAACTACATCAGCCATTTTGTTCCCCAGTCACCCACTTTTGTGAGACTTGGCTGATATGAGACCAAATTTTTCTTTATGCAGCTTTACTCATTTGAGTTAGAGCTACATGGGACATACTTTCTTACTAGCTGCCTAGACCATTAGCAGGCCTATGAACTAGTCCTCAGAATTTTCTGTTGGGGAGATGGTAGGTCTCACTACAAACTGATCATGCCAGGAGTTAAATACACTACATCTCCACAGCACTCCCAGACCTTTTTGACAGAGAGA